GTAATACAGTGTTTCAAACGTTATATATAATTTATTTACTTCATACATGAGTGGTAATTAACTTATATGGCATACATGAAGAGTTCTCTGTTCATGAATACATAGATACAAGGATAATATATACTGTTGTTTTGCTCTAATGTGTGTGTGTTTGTGTATGTGTGTGTGTGAGACCTAGCTCTTCCATCCATTAGTATATAAACAAATGTTTCAATCCAATTTTTCAATTACATAAATATACTTCACACTCACCCATGGAACTTGTTTCATCTAAAACTGTATTCTGCACCTTATGCTGTACATTAAGAAGTGAAATATACCAATGTGTGTGTGTGTGTGTGTGTGTGTAATTACCTAAGTGTAACGACCTAACTGTAGTTACAGGATGAGAGCTACGCTTGTGGTGTCCTGTCTTCCCAGCACTCTTTGTCATATAATGCTTCAAAACTAGAAGGAATGTGTGTACTCACCTAGTTGTGTTTGCGGTGAGTACACACATTCCTTCTAGTTTTGTGTGTGTGTGTGTGTGTGTGTGTGTGTGTGTGTGTGTGTGTGTGTGTGTCACCACCTGTGCGTACACGAGCTGCCATGTGAATGTATCCTTTGGCATAATGTACTCACCCAGTTGTAATCACCTAGTTGTGCTTGTTGTGGGGGTTGAGCTTCAGCTCTTTGGACCCACCTCTCAATGCAATGTATCAGCACCACTATGGTGTACATTATACTCAGCTGTGGGGTATACATATCACTGTGACTGTGTTTTTATGAATTTGTATTTGCATCCCCCTCCCCCCCCCTGCTAGCCAGCAAAGTTTAAATATCACTTAGAAAGTCTTAATAAGCTATTAATATTTTTTCCAGCAGCCACATTTCTTTGTTTATGTTATAAAGACAATATGCCTCCAACTTGACCAAATATTGGTGTATTGCTATGCCATAGAACCACTTTTAAGTGCTATGTATCACAAAAATGCACATCCTGCCACTGTAGTTTTCATAAAGTAGAATAGTTGTATGTAACATCTGAAGTATGTATTTTATGTAATTATCAGCCTCTACCAGCATTGCTTCATCTCTGAATATCTGTATGTATCACAGTGAAGCCTGTTTGCATCTTCATTCCAACAACCACTACCTGTGTTGTGTATTATCTATTACTTAGCAATAATGTGTCCTTGAACTGCCCCTGCACCCATCAAGTATGTTTGTGTATGTATTATACGTATGCCTGTGCCTTTATGCTAGCGACCACAATCCATGTTATGTATTGTCCAAGACAGCACCCACCAGCTTGCACTGCCTCTGCACTCCACCATCGCACTCAGGCCGGGTCTATGGTGATTCAACTAAAGCATCGTGGACCCCCAGGGACCTGTTATGGGTACAGAAAGGCACACAAGTTGTCAAAAATGGGATCGTGGTCTCCCATAGTTGAAGTCAACAAATGGGCAAGGTACCACCATGGGAATGAACTAAAGACATACCCACTGACTTTAAGTGAGAGAGTGAGAGTGAGATAGTGAGTGAGAGAGTGAAAGAGTGAGAGTGTGAGAGTGAGAGTGAGAGAGAGAGAGAGAGAGAGAGAGAGAGAGAGAGTGAGAGAGTGAGAGAGTGTAGGTAGGAAGGTAGGAGAAAGAAAAAGTAAGCAAGAGAGAGTGAGAGTGTGTAATGCTTGACAGATCAAATAGGTATTGTTTTTATCGCACTCACGATGATAAATGACATATTTACATCAAGATGAGTGTAATGACTCAAAAGCTTTGAACTGAGACTTCACATATTTCCTGTAGAGCCTCTTTACACATCCTGAAATGATCACCACACCATTCATGCTGCAATAGGTTAGTAAGGTGGTATCATAAAAATGTAGCTGGGACACAGGAGGGAGTCTCAGTCTCTATATGGTTGCCCAGGGTAAAGAGGTGAGAATCCCCCCAGCCTGTATGGAGTTGGAAACGGCATGCCAACACGTAACAAGATAAGTTAGGATTGGCAACGGAACAAACCTGGGATGTTATCTCATGCACTCAGATCTCGACTTATTCTGACAACAAAGCAAAAACTTAAAAGGGAACTTAAAATTTGTATTACATTACTTTAGAGTGGGTGCAAAGTTCCTAACATCCCAAGAATGTTCACTGTGCAATGGAGAAAAAGACTGGACAACAGAATGGTATAGCTTGAGTTTTTCTTTTTCTTGGGTATAAGGGGCAACTATGTACACAACATTGGAAGATTCTGCTTATCCTTGCTCGCACAGTCATGCAGTTGCTCTCCTTGTGGTCCTCCAGCAGCTCTTAGTTCCTTTGCCTGGCATCTCCTTGCTATTTTATCCACTTATTCCCTTTTAAATGATCTTTTTCAACCTTTGACCCTCCCCCCTCTCAGGCTACCCTTTTTCAGTTGTTTCCTCCCTCAGATCACAATTTCTTAATTCAAACCTTTATTTTTGTGTCATTTAATGTAGTTCCCTTATACTTTAATGTAGTTATCCCTTATTCCCCTAAACTTATGTAGTTCCCTAGTCAGATATTTTTATTTTTTATCTGTCTCATCTAAGGTCATTCTTATTTAAAAACTTGTACCCGCTCTCCTCTCCCCATTTCTAATTAATCTCCAAGAGTTTATTAACCAAGTTCTTAAGTCCTCGAACTTCATCTCCCTAAATCTAATTTTACTTGTACTAATTTGCCACTTGATCCATCATCTGCTATTATTGCTACTGCCCCAATGAATGAATTTAAATCCTACCCTTTTCTCGTCCAAAAAGTTTTTCCCACCTGTCCTGCATCTCAGGTCATTTCCCTTTGTTCAAAATCATCACCTTATAAAAAGTCATATGATCTTGATCCCTGCTCTTCCACAGTTTGTTTCTCGATTAAATTCCTTAAGAGACCAGTATTGGAGACTGGTCTTTGAGAATGCCCTTAAGAAACAGGGCATTCTCCTCACCTCGTTTACCAGATCATGCCATGTCCGACTTATTATGACCTCTTCCCATGCCTCATCTTTCTTCATTTCACTACCACAATACCTACACCTTTACAGCTCCCAAGATTATTCCCATTTATCAGCTCCCTGAGGGAGCCGGTCGGCCGAGCGGACAGCACGCTGGACTTGTGATCCTGTGGTCCTGGGTTCGATCCCAGGCGCCGGCGAGAAACAATGGGCAGAGTTTCTTTCACCCTATGCCCCTGTTACCTAGCAGTAAAATAGGTACCTGGGTGTTAGTCAGCTGTCACGGGCTGCTTCCTGGGGGTGGAGGCCTGGTCGATGACCGGGCCGCGGCAACACTAAAAAGCCCCGAAATCATCTCAAGATAACCTCCCCCCAGTAGGCATATCTCCAACCTCCATATACTTCTGAGCACTCTCCTTTCTAATCATACAGTTAACCAACAGAGTATACCTTCAGAGAAGCAGGCAGCACTGTTACTGAGAGTCGTCACTTTACCACAGTATTCCATCTAGATTTCTAAAACTACAGATGTTTTCTGTATGAAATCTTAAAAAAATTATGATCTATATATTCAAATAATTTTGTTACAATTTGAATACAAAATTTTGTATTACTTCTTGGGCCACTCAAAATATTTAGCCTCTAAATTTAAGCTACTGCTTTATAAGATAAGTTCTTCCATTAATGCAATTTTTCTCATTGTGTACATTTGGTTTACTTATAAAAAAAAAAAAAAAACTAATACCAAATGTTCTAGTAGTGCTTATGTTTCTCGATTTATAAAATCTGGACATTATTTTGACCTGGGCTCAGTAACCTCTGGTGCTCTGCTACACTCCACACCTTGTATAAAATATCCATGGATACCTACAGCTACCCAGTCATTACACTGGTTACCTTTTACTGCAAAAATGCAAACATGCCAATATTTAACAGGTACAATATGTGCCCGTTTGTTAAGAAAACATACTGATAATCCAGGCGTAACACACATGTACACTCACACACACACACACACACACGCACACTGGTAAACATCAACTAGCAACAAATGCCTCTCTTAAAAGTCAAAGTAAACCTATGAAAGCCTCTAATAAAGAACATTTTCTCTGTGTTGTGAGTAAGAAAATGGGCTTTATTAACCGACCAACCTGGGCTTACTTTCGCTAATTTCGAGACAAATAAATGCACCACTAATTAACTAGTAGAACAATCAACATCATAGACCATATCCTCATGCTTTCCCATAGACCATATCCACTACGTCCGACGTAGTAGACCTGAACCAGCTAAAGTAAAAGTTAGGAAAATACATAACAATCACCCAATTATTCATAATTACAGCCGAGGACTAACCTAATGGTAAAATGATATGTACAATGGATTGCTTATTGAATCTGAGGTCAAAGGCGAAATATGAATGTGCACCTTTTGATAATATGTGCCAAGATCACATAGAAAAATAAGAGTTTGTGCTCACAACTTAAATCATGTGATTAATTCAAATATCCATTATTTTCTCACTTAAAGAGAAGTAAAGAGTAATGCAGCACAAAATAGCAGACTTACCCTATGACCACTTAACAGCAAATGGGAAAGTAACCCTTTAGGTTCAGTCATTTTCTTTCACACCACCACAGAAAATGGGACAGTAACATGACATTCGCCATGTTGAGGCTTCAAGCTACTGGGACACTTCCTTCATAATAATATACAGTATTACTGTAACTGGTATATATGTTGTACATCTTACCAGTATTGCATTATACAGAATGAACACCATCATCTTTAAATAATTCAAAATACTATTTTACAAACTTTTAAACAAGGGGTTTTGGAAGAGCAGAGAACTTGTGTTCCATTGCAACGAGAACACACAGCTTCTGTACGGATTTCTATTTTTTGTAACTCTGCACTTACTTACTATACCTTCTTGACGGTCCATACGTGTAGTCCAGGATAATCATTCCCAATACTGTATCACAGACATTCCCTCTCATAGTCCTGCATGGCTGCATCACACCTAGTTTATCAAACATGCATTTCTTTTGGATAACTTTTATTTCTGTGTAACTGTAAAATATCAACAGTGTAGTTTTCAGGTGATGATAGTTCAAACCATCAAACATCATTTAGTCTACAGTTTGATTAAATCCCTAAACTAACTTAACCATTAATTACCCCAATTATTCACCAGATTAGTGTTTGTGCTTATTTTTCATCAGTCAGCAGCCATGCACGCAAGCTTCACATGGATTGAGTTTCCATGGACGTTAGTGGTCACCTCTGGACTCAACCACTTAGGGATGAAGGGCCCCCCTCCAGTAATCTTGTGATGGGATTTCAGGTTTTCATGTGTCCTCCTTTATTGGGGAGCCATACACTAAAAGAGCTAGGGTTCTCTTACTTTTTACTGAGAGTTGATACAACCTGGCAATTGTCATCCATCACTGGATAATGGAGGTAAATTTTCACTAGAGCAAAATGCTTGCTCTGGAATCTGTCTACTGTGTAATGGGTGGCTCCCCTCTCACTTCTGACTTGAGCTTGACAAATTCCTTTGCTACTTCATCATTGGTCCGTTGACTTAAAATTCTCAACACAGTCCATCCAGTCTCATCCATCTGACAACGCTTGCCCAGGAAAAGCCATGTTGCACAGGAACCCTAAGGAAAGACCCCATGTCTGTGATGTTGCTTCAACTCATATATCACATTCTAGTTTCCAGTACAAGTAATAAAAATTAAATTCACATAAGAAATTATAGTATTCTTAAACAAAAAGTAAAATCCTATTTTATATGTTGAAGAATACTGTACTTATTTCATGATTAGAGTAAATCCTAAATTTTTTATATACCAGCATTGTAGGATAGTGGTGTAGCTACTGAATATTTTGATCTTGCATATATTCAAAACTGACCCATTATATTTGATATTAAAGGTATTCAGACAAATTCGATATATGACGCTACCTGGTCAACAATGTCTCTAAGTTGAAGCACAGCCACGCCGACAAGACGATCATCTCGGGCAAAGCAGTAGTCTTTCACACATATGTGTAGCTCAAAGCTCTCTGGACCTTCTTCACTCCCAATTAAGCTGAAAATAGAAGAATTATGAATTCGTCTCATGAAATATAAAAACTTCACAATTCTCAACTAAATGGCGAAGTAGAGGTGTAGACGATCTTTTGAAGGATTTCCGCCTATTTACCCTAAATTTAAGTAAGACATCCATATTTCTTCTTGACTATCCACTTAACTAAGCTGTTTCATCAGTGACTCTTGTCTACACTATTATTTTACACATGTCTATACAGTATATTGTTTAAATATCTACACTATACCCCCCCCCATTCATTTATTTAAATTGTCATATTATTTTTCAACTACAATGTTATTTCAGAGTCAATTTGTACCTTAGTCATTTTCTTCATTTTATAATATTGCACTCATGATTTCCTTTAAGATTTTTTTCAAAATCTGTAGTATCAAATCTGCATGCAAACCCTTTACATCTCTCAAATATAACTGGCTTGTGCCATTCACCATTCCTTTCATAGCAAATTTGACTCGTGTTGCAACAATCATATTGTTTACATATAGCATTATCTGAACTCGGCTCTTACTTCCAATTTTTACTTATTCAAGTTATTAGATCGATTCTGTTTTAAACTACAATAATAATAAAAATGACTCTAATCCATAATAATTCTGAATGTTCAACATGTAGTCATTCCAAATTCAACTTTCTGACTCATTATGACTTCTAAAATGATCTGAGAGGCCACTAACCTAGTGGCCTTGACGACATTTAGCCGGAGAACAGGAAGCCAACTAACAAAACCACACTACTGTATATACAAACAATGCAGAAAGCAACTGGAATAAGCTGAGTGTGGAAGTGGTGGAAATCACCGCCATTCACAGCAACAAGGGGCAAATATGATAAAGTGGTGGAATATCAGGAAAAACAAACACACTAGGTACCCACCAGATAAAAGTCAGGACCTCAAGATCTAAATTGTTCTCCCCATATGCACAGCTATGTAACCATGTCTTATTTTGGGGGAATGGACCCCAACAGGAATAGCCAATGGAGCCTAAGAACACCACCATAGATGTTGGAAAACTGAAGACAGCTGTCAAATATGTAATCAGATGAGGGAAGCCATAAAAACTTGGATGAATATGCATTAAACAAGAAATCCAATAGGGATGAAGGATTGGGCCACCCCAAACTGGCACACAGACAAGCGGGCATGGTGGACGTGGACAAAGCGTTTTGGTGAACCAAACACTAAAACATATCTTTGAATACTCGGTAAGGGAGGAGGTAGGCAGCGACGGAGCACGAAAGTCAAAGTACACAATCAGCTGCAGTGTGAGTCATATAACACCACACAGAAGCAGGGATTGTATGATAGGCAGGTCCTAAACACATACAAACAGTCAGAATGTCTCAATGATTTTTGTCTTGTTTTAAGCCGAGAAGATTGTCTCTTACATAGTAACAGGTGCCACAGTGAAGAATACATCTTATCCAATGCCCAGAAGCAGAGTAACTCGAGAGGAGCTATCACAGAGTAGGGAGCCTGTGACTCCTCAGATCAGGTATCTCTGATAGGGTATAAGGAAATGTAGCTGACCCTTTGGGTCAGCTACATTTCAAATGGCTATTGTCAAAGGAAAATGCGATGTTAGGGAAAATAAAATGTGCCTGGCATAAAACACAATCGTGAACCATAAATAAAGTAACCTGGTACTCCCAGGTTGGAGTACCATCATGTTGGATGTCCCTGGATACGTAATCTTATTTGCAATTCAGATAAAGTATGAAGGAAGGCATACAATGTCTGATTATGCGAGGTGATGATATAGTTTTATGCATCGCACTTGTATGACATATGGGTGAAGCATTGCAATCTTGTGTGCTGCTAAGTTTAGTTTAGTTAGTTATGTTTAGGGAATGCCGAACTTGCATATGACCCTTCATAAAGTAACAACATTTCTCCAATCATGTATGTATATGTCTAAGTATAATAAGCGAGTTGTTCTAAGCCATACAAGGTTGTATCAAAGACTCCCTTCTTCAAATATAAATCTGTCGTCCCCATTAAAAAGGCTACTGTACTATATTATACTAACAACACATCAAAATAAATATTTGATGGAACCTAAACTAATTCCCTGCTTCATAGGTTGAGTTAGCTGCGACTTAATCTGGCAGAGCATAATCTTCATGGAGCCACCGAGGCCCTACCAGAAAGAGTCATTTTATTACATTCACAGCTGGATATTTATGCTACTGTCAGCTTACCAAGCACTTGAAAACCCCAACATTCAAAATAGTTTCTAGGAATGTTATAAACATCAATTATAAATAATAAAATTGATGCACAGATAAAAGAGCTTTAGAATCTTCTGTATATGGATTCCATCTCACATTGGAATAATACAACATGATGATACAAACATGATGATACAAACATGATGATACAACATGATGATACAAACATGGCTGCTAAAACTGCATATAACAAACTTGAGTTTGAGTCAGAACTTCTCAATTTTTTTTTTTTAAGGCACATTACTTCAAGAAATTAGGGCTAAAACGAGCAATCACTGATATGCAGAGGGTGGAAAGACTAGAATAAAGAGCTATGATATATTTAGAGGTGAGAACTTAGAGATATGGATAGCACAAAACATCTATTAAAGTGTGACATTATAATTGCCAGAATTAAGCTGGGATATCATACTTATGACAGATAATGGCAGGTAGTGAATTTCCAAACAGTGAGCACTCATAACTGTAAAATGGAGCTAGGAGACACAATATTAGTGAATGCCCACTTATGAGACACTTATGAAACCTGGTTGTTAAATGATTTGTTGGGTCGTATTCAGGGGAAAAATTAGGATTAATGACCTGCCCGAAATGCTTTGCATGCTAATGGCTTTACAAGAATGTAAGAATACTTTGTATATACTGTATATATATATATATCAAAATAATAACGGAAAATAGTCAAAAACGCTGAAAGAGAACTTACAACTGAACACTTTCATTGTACTTGGGTGACCAGCTGTTTGATTTAGATTTTGTGGCAAACTTTCTCTTCTTATCAGCCAAGTGAGGACCAATAAGGTTGACTTCGACAAAGGGTCGGAACATTCCTCCTGCTGTTGTTGGCCACCGTAGATCATTAGCTGCCACAACTGCAAAAATGACAAAGGAAAAGTAAACAGAACAATACATCAGACATATAAGAAAACTAGATGTGTTATACTATACAGTGCCATTCAGAAACAGACAAAAATATGTAAAGTACACAAAAATTGAATTGTACCATACATCACTCTGCTTCAGATACATTAAATACAAAGAATACAAAATATATATGTGCCTAAGAAATATAAGCCTAAGAAATTCAGTTCTTTTACCTCTAATATTGCAGTACCGTATTTGTTGGCATAATAAGTGTATTATGATGCATGAACTTATAAGTGTACTATCTAAAACTACCCAAACGTCTTAATGGTTCATCATTATCAATAGATCATTCAGTACTAAATATTCAGAATAAATATGAAATAAACTGATCATTGATTAATTATCAATAGGGGTTTTCCACTATGCATCAACTGATATTCTGGGAGAGGATAATGTATGTCCCTGTGGACCTTTACTGTCTCCTGCATTGCAGATGTGTTCTTCAGGCTTTTTAGGGTTCAGTAATATGGTATGAGCTTGATGCAGAGGGTGACACACACACACACACACACACACACACACACACACACACACACACACACACACACACACACACACACACACATACCCTCTTGATATGTACTGACACCCATGCCACCTACCCTTGACACGTACTGACATCCAGCCTTGACATGTACTCACATCCAGCCTTGACATGTACTGACACCCAGCCTTGACATACGCTGACACCCACCCTTGACATGTACTGATATCTGCCCATGACACATGCTGACACCTGCCCTTGACACTCGCTGATACCCACCCTTGACACATGCTGACACCCACCCTGATGCCTGTAGACATTCATGTATCAACACATTAAGCATGAGGGCATTGATTAAGCATTGACTGTTCCATCAATGCTGGAGGTTATATTTATCAAGAAAGAAGAGATATTTGATATTCAGTATCTTCCACCGTTGGGTAAGAGTGACCATATCCTTTTGGAAATAAAATGTGCAATGTTTTATAATCTAAAAGAGAATGAGGAAAATGAATTAAGATAAATACTTGATTTTGAGAGAATACACCATGGGGAACTTAACAAGTTCTTTAGTGAATCTGATTGGAAAGATTTGCTGTTTAGGTAAGGAAGTATATGATATGTATGCCAAATTTTGTGAGATATGATGTAGTTTATTTTTTTAAAATTAACTTTTTTCTGTAGTTCAACAAATTGTAAGACGGCCAGAGAACAAAAGACAAAAAACAAAAAAACAAATGGAATCTATAGGAAGAGACCTAACCCTTAAAAATACCAGCAAAACAAACAAGAAAAAAAAACTACATGGCAGTAAGAAGGCAGAATGGAAGATGCATGCAAAGGATAAAATCCAGATGTTGAAAATGGGGGGAAAACAGATTCACAGAGAATGAAAACGAAATACAGTATGTGAAACACTAAATGAGTAACTACTTAAGTGTAATTACCAAAGTGTAGTTACAGGACGAGAGCTACACTCCTGGTGTCCCGTCTTCCCAGTGCTCTTTATTGTATAACGCTTTGAAATGTGTTCCAAAGAATGTGTGTTTGTGCAAATTTTGAGGTTTTCAGAGAATCAGACAAAATACATATTTCAGAGAACACAAAGTACATGGAACACAGAATACAGAGCCCAGTTGATTGACAGTTGAGAGGTGGGACCAAAGAGCCAAAGCTCAACCCCCCGCAAACACAACTAGGTGGGTGAGTACAGACACGCGCTGACACCCACCTTTGACATTGATCCGCTGTTCACCCGTTCCAGGATGAGTGTAGAGGTCCACCTGGACACTGATTTCACCAACGGTGCCTTCTTCAGTAGATCCTGAAGATGAAAAATAGTGAGATCCTAAATGACGAGTGAAGTAAGTGAGATGACCATTGTAAATTAGAGGGTCACTGTAAACTATGAAAAGTATTGAGAGGATCGGTGTAAAATATGGAAGGTATTAAGGTGACTGTATACTATTAAAGGTACGGAGAGAACCACTGTACTGAGAAGAAGACTACTATAGAAGGTACCGAGTTACTGTACACTTCAGAAGGTATTAAGAATGTTACTGTATACTTTCAAAAGTACTGAGAGAGCTCATTGTAATCTATGGAAGAAAGCTGTAAACTAATGAAGCTACTGAGAGGGGCACTGTAAACTATGGAAGGTATTAAGGGAGACTGTATACCACTGAAGGTACTGAGAGGAGGCACTGTAAACTATGTTAGGTATTAAGGGAGACTGTATACCACTGAAGATACTGAGAGGAGGCACTGTAAACTATGGAAGGTATTAAGGGAGACTGTATACCACTGAAGATACTGAGAGGAGGCACTGTAAACCATGTTAGATATTAAGGGAGATTGTATACCACTGAAGGTACTGAGAGGAGGCACTGTAAACTATGGAAGGTATTAAGGGAAACTGTATACCACTGAAGATACTGAGAGGAGGCACTGTAAACCATGTTAGATATTAAGGGAGATTGTATACCACTGAAGGTACTGAGAGGAGGCACTGTAAACTATGGAAGGTATTAAGGGAAACTGTATACCACTGAAGATACTGAGAGGAGGCACTGTAAACCATGTTAGATATTAAGGGAGATTGTATACCACTGAAGGTACTGAGAGGAGGCACTGTAAACTATGGAAGGTATTAAGGGAAACTGTATACCACTGAAGGTACTGAGATGGGCACTGTAAACTATCGAATAATTCTGGCCAAGGTGCAAATCAAGTCTAAACATGTTATATGCTTTGACCAGATTTTTTTTACTGTGAACTTAAATTACGTAAAATAAAAGTAAGACACAAGCCCAGTACTACCTCTGTGTTACACAAGATGATCGCTAACTTTATAAGTCAATCTATAATAAAGAACAAGCTCATGTGCTTGTGTTAATGTTTATACTGTATGTAAAATAATCGTGTCATGACATGCATAATACAGTATCAATATAATGAATTATCATAAGTAGTTTGTATTACAATTTAATGTTCATTAAAGTTACATACATCAAAACATTCTTTGAATACTACCATACCAGACTGCAAATTATGCATTAAACGTCTACATGCAAATACATATACAACTATGCAAATTACATTAAACGTCTACGACATCAACACAACAAATATATAGGGATATGAAAGTTATTGGTAACATGAAAAAAAAGGCATTCCACAGCAGTGGCTTAAACCAAACATTCTCTCAACATCCAAGAAATGCTTTTGTGTAACAAGATTCAAAATAAAAAAAAAACACCAGCTACCATAGTCTCTAGGAAACTGAAGAATGACAGACGTCAAAGAAAAGCCCAAACATCACCAGTGTTGAATATTTTCTTTGTCGTCATGCTGATGGCTGTACTAAGGACCATTTGACATGACACACTCAAGATGGTCTATCAAAAATGCAGTTTTCTTAAATGTTAGATTGTATTTCTGCATGGATAGCTATATATCAAGACTTTAACACTAAGTTGAAATCTCATCACATCTATTAAAAGTAATGCAGCACTGTTCTCTTACATACTCTATTATGAACAATGTTTATAAAAAGATGCTACTTAAAAAATGTAATACAGAATGGTATTTTAGCTTCTGCATTTCTGAATTGTGGTCAAGCATGAGTGAGATGATGGGAAGCTGCAGAAGGAAAATATTGAATCACAAGATGCTCTAGTTTATAATGGATACTACATTCCTCACTAGGCGGAGTGATACCATTCTCTCTAAGGCTGAGTTCGTAAACTCATATCTCCCTAAGGTGGGAACTGTTTAGTCTTGTTCCAGGGCCCAATGCCTTGGGAAGTACAAGGGGCCCTAAAATAAGCACAACAGTATTTGACGATATAATATCTTGTCTCGTCCAGTGCTTGTGATATATCTGGCAATGTTAGACATGAATAATTTCCAGGATAATTAAACTTATTTAAATATTGCTCAGGATTCTCACAATCACAGTCACCATGACACATATTTACGAACCCATCAAAATACTAAATATATATTGTGTATATATTTTTTCTTTCTAGGAAGACGCTACACGCTAGAAGAGAGGAGACGAGGCTTGACTGTGCATACTCCCGACCCCCTCAGCTTTACCTCTCTTATCACTCATAGACAGTTTCTTTCTGATTGTCTTTGCCTTAACTGGATCATCATCGTCCTCTGCCTCCGGTTCTTCACCATCCTCCTCCTCTTCTTCTCCTTCTTCCTCCTCCTCTTGCACTGGTTCCTTTTTCTTTTTCTTGGCCTTACCGGGAAACTTAGTGTCGTTTGCGGGAACTTAATGGGAGAAGGGAGGAGTCATGTAGTGCAGCCAGACTCAGGACTTAAGGTTACATCGCAGGTTCTGGTGCTGGTGGCTTTAGTGTGCAACTTGTCTATCATCTGGACTACAACTAATCCAGTCATTTTGTAGCACTACAGCTCTTAATACAGAAACTTATTAAATTATCCTGCAACTTATTTGTTAATTGAACAATTCAGAAAATGTCTCAGTAATTGTCTTTAAAAATCCAGTACTGTACTGTAACTCTCAAGAAAGTGAAAATTTATGTTGTGATCCAAAAAGCTTCTAGATGATAAGTATTTGAAAAACAACATTTTTGTATTAACAGCATAAATTAATATTTAATTACTGGAAATTAAAATCAATATTTAATAACAAAACAACAATAATACTTTTCAAAGATACAATACTTAAAAAATATTTCAAATGAAATAATATTTAGTAAATTATCTATGTAAATTACTCATACTTAAGATGTGTTGCAAAAGATATTTAACTTCTACATTAAATTAGAAAATACTTAATGGCTAAGTGAAAGAAAGGCAAGAAGATGCTGTACTCCTAAATTAACTTAGAAAATGCTGTGTGACTTCAAAGGAAAAAATATTTGATGCTATACTGAAGAAATATCAAGTGCCATGTGCATTAATATATAATGTTTACTGTCTGCAGCACCATCAAGTGCCATGTGCATTAATATATAATGTTTACTGTCTGCAGCACCATCAAGTGCCATGTGCATTAATATATAATGTTTACTGTCTGCAGCACCATCAAGTGCCATGTGCATTAATATATAATGTTTACTGTCTGCAGCACCATCAAGTGCCATGTGCATTAATATATAATGTTTACTGTCTGCAGCACCATCAAGTGCCATGTGCATTAATATATAATGTTTGCTGTCTGCAGCACAATCAAGTGCCATGTGCATTAATATATAATGTTTGCTGTCTGCAGCACAATCAAGTGCCATGTGCATTAATATATAATGTTTGCTGTCTGCAGCACAATCAAGTGCCATGTGCATTAATATATAATGTTTGCTGTCTGCAGCACCAGAGTGCTGAGGGGTCGCACATGTTCAAACCCCCGCAGCTACTTGCTTGAAGATGAATAAGTGAACAAATCAAGTGCACTTCACTACTGTACAACAATAACCTAACCCGCACGCGTGAAACAAATTGAAAGTGACGACTAGATAATGGTCCAGGATAAGCTGAAACGATGTCACTTTAATTTCATATATATATGTGTGGGTTGGATTATTTGTCTGCCATGTTATTGTGATTGTACTTCTCAGCATTCTGTACAATAGTTCTAAAAAGAAAATGAAATGACTTGGATGCAAGGGAGCAAACAACGATGTGTAATTATCAAAGTCCGTCATATAAATGTACAACAGTAAACATAGGGGGTGAAAATGGATTGTTACAACTATAGAGTCAGTAGTTCCCACAGTTTAAAAGTGTCTAATATATTTTGACTCAAGGAGCAGTAAAACTAAATCATCTTAAGCAAATTATTTTGTAACGTCCCACAGGTATTTTGGTGGTACATTACTTATATTCAATTGGGAAACCTTTGACAAGATGCTGGCTTCCTTTTCTTGTCGAGGCCACTAGACATGGAAGCCCTCTGTTAAATATTTTTTTTTTCAAAGATAATCACTGCTCTGAATACGTTGCCCCATTGTAGAACATATCCTCTCATACAGCCTTCTATGATGACTATATCTACTCATGTAGTTCTCATTGTATAACATATCTATCCATACAGCCTTCTATGAAGACCATATATACACTGTGTGTGTGTGTGTATGTGTATTATATATATATATATATATATATATATATATATATATATATATATATATATATATATATATATATATATATATATATATATATTAGCCAAGCCAAGATTTCATGAATTAATTGTTTTTCGACTACCTAACCTACCTAACCTAACCTAACTTTTTCGGCTACCTAACCTAACCTAACCTATAAAGATAGGTTAGGTTAGGTTAGGTAGGGTTGGATAGGTTTGGTCATATATCTACGTTAATTTTAACTCCAATTAAAAAAAATGACCTCATACATAATGAAATGGGCAGCTTTATCATTTCATAAGAAAAAAATTAGAGAAAATATATTAATTCAGGAAAACTTGGCTTATTAGGCAAATCGGGCCTTGCATAGTAGGCTGAGAAGTGCGTTCTGGCTACTAGGTACGACATTATATATATATATATATATATATATATATATATATATATATATATATATATATATATATATATATATATATATATATATATATATATATATATATATATATATATATATATATATATATATACATACACACACACACACGCACACACAAACAGCCATCATTGTAAATCACGGCTCCCCATACAGCTGTCATTCAAAATAAGAAAATTGTGTTCTATTACTAAGTATTAACCTAAGACCTATTACATGTACCAACAATTTTGGCTTTCCATTGTTGGGAACAATAAGCCAGTTAGGTTTGCCTAGGTTCCCCTTTCCAATGATTGACCTCTCCCAGGATACTACCTATTGACACCTTGGTGAACAGAGGCATCAGGTGTAAGGAAACATGCCCAAATGTCTTAAACTGACTGCACTAACTATTGTACTACGGGTCACAATAAACATATATATTTACGTAATTTATTACTGTATCCTAAATTTAAATTTGTTTGTAAATTATCATTATTTGTATTAGCTAGAAATGCAAGTCACTTTAATGTTCAATTGAAAATGATAGAATTATTTTTTTATAAATTAGAATGACACAGCTGTTCATTTGCCTGAAATGCAGTGCTTAATTTGTGGTTTGATACAAAATTATACTATTACTGTATTATACAGGTACTCTCTTTAACATTATCATATGTAAATTTGTTATAAATTTGCCCGAAACGCTTTGCGTAATAGTGGCTTTAGGCATTGTATGTACTAGCTCTATCTATAAAGCCAACAAACTTTGTAAATCTCTTTATGTATGTACCTTACCTAAATAAAGATTATTATTATTATTATTATTATTATTATTATAAACAAACTACAGTACTGTATTATTATTATTATTATTATGTTGGCTTCATAAACATTTAGGGCTAGCATTCTCCTATATTCACCTGGTAGATACCAGCTATTACTAGTGGCCTTGAGACAGGGAACAAGAGAATCTTATAGCTTGCAAAGAACCCTTCATTTTGCCTGATAAGTTTTTCCAATTGTACTACTCTGGGATGGCCCCTCAGGCAGCCACCGAGAAGTGTACTTGCTTCGCTGGCTTTGGCATATTATTTCATCAATTAATGGTATGCTTAGGGGTGCCTTCTCACCATGCCCTGTGGCTGGGGGGATTGGTGCCCTGAAGCTACATAAACACCCTATTACCCCCCCCCCTGAATATATATTTACGTAATTTATTAGTAGTAGGCATCCATCAGTCTGAGGAGACTACGGTGTTGTGCTCTGGAGTGGCCTCACTAGGGCGCAAAGCCAGGGTAGGTTAATATGGAGGAGAAGCTGTTACCCAGGCAGCAGGCCCTCCCTCTCCACGGCGCCGAAAGTCCCCATTGGAAAGGCGAACGCCAATAAGATTGGTTCCAGTGCCGTCACAGGAACTGTGAGTTCCGGGGTTGACCTCGTAGTTGGTGAAAAAGGGCACAGAGACCTCCAAACCCGGAGACTGTAATTTATTACTGTATCCTAAATCGCCTAACTTCCCTAGGCAAGGGAAGTTAGGGGACAACATAGCCTCGAGGCTATTTACTTCCTATGGTTTGTTTTGCAAGATTACTTGGCCAGCTCTAGTTGTGGCCTTCTAGTTTATTAACACATAATTGGTAGTCATATAGCTTTCAGCCAACTTATTTCAGAGATGAATTTGGTCATTCTGCATATACCTTATTTATTTAGTGATGTAATGTCTTGAAGGATGGGGGCCAGCATGTTTGAATACTGTATATTGTTCAGTTAGAGGCATGTGTGAGATTTGTACAGTTGGACGGTAACATTGGTTTTTGTATTAAACGGTTTATTTTAGTGTTTTATATTTTATATGGACAGATATTAGCCCTTACACTGTTCTATGTTACAGTATCTGTCATTTCCTTCTATGTTCAAATTGCCAGAAGAGATTAATCCTTACGGAATTTCAATACTTTATTTTCCCATGTGCACTTGGATGCAAAACTTTTAAATTGCTTAGCAGTTTAAGGGTTAAGCAACTTTCAAGGATTGGTGCACTATGCAGCTTGTTTTCATTTTTTAACAAGTATAAAATTTGAAGTGGTTTTCCTAATCAAAATCATGCATTATGATTCCTAGGTTTTTTAGGTTAAACTTGTGGGGCAGTAGTTTTCAGATTTTCTGCTACTTCCTTTTTTGAAGACAAGTTGCAATAAACACAAGATTCTAGTCTTGAGGCACTCATCCTAGTCCCAAGGATTTTCTGAATGGTAGTCTTAGTGGCAAGCATATCCAATTGGCTGTCTCTATCATTTTGAACTGAACTCCATTGACACTGTGCTTTGGATTTCTTTAATTTGCCCATATTTTTCTTATACTAAATTGCTGTCCCCATTGAGGCCACTAGGGAGCCGGCGGCTGAGTGGACAGAACACTGGACGCGTGATCCTGTGGTCCCGGGTTCGATCCTGGGCGCCAGTGAGAAACAATGGGTAGAGTTTCTTTCACCCCTGATGCCTCTGTTATCTAGCAGTAAATAGGTACCTGGGAGTTAGTCAGCTGTCATGAGCGGCTTCCTGGGGGTGGAAGCCTGGTCGAGGACCGGGCCGCGGGGACACTAAAGCCCCGAAATCATCTCAAGATAACCTCAAGATAACTAGATATAGTGGCCCTTAAATGAATTCCAATAAATATTCTAATTTTATGTTCCTTATTATATAACCTTACTGGAACTGGCATAACACTATTCTAATTATTTTCCTAAATGAACAGAATGCAAAACTTTAATTTAGGGTAAATCAGGTCTGACATTAGTTGTGTAAGATATGAAGATAACTTATATTCTTCAAGAGGTTCACATTTTGCTATTTCTTTAAATTTACTTCTGGTACATCATAAAACTTTATATACTTTTGATAATCTGTGCTAGTTTCCTTTCAATGCTACATTTAACCAATATAATATCTTGGATAGTAGCATTCAAGGATCTCCTAATAATTTTTTTGTTATTCACCTTCTTTGTTTTTTTTATTTTCAAAGTTGATATTTCATTGTAATTTTTGTTTTAATATATACTGTACAAGAGTTCTTACAGTCTTGTAAAGTCACTAGCAGACATAGCATTTTGGGCAGGTCTTTAATTCAAATTTTTTCCATGGAATACGATCCACCAAATTGTTTAACAACTAGGTACCCATTCACTGCTAGGTGAACAGAGGCTACAGTTAAGGATTGGCACCCAGTCAGTCCTCCCCGGCCAGGATACGAACCAAGGTGAAAGTGCTTGCGAAGCACCAGGCGAGTGCTTTATCACTGCGCCACAGGGACTGCTAATATCTCTCTCTGCCACCTGCATCATCCATTAGGTCTTTTGATTGAAAAATATTGTATTACATCTCCCAGATGATGTTCTGCAGTATATCCATTTGTTTTTGTGGTCACCATACGAGTAGGGGCCTCGTAGCCTGGTGGATAGCGCGCAGGACTCGTAATTCTGTGGCGCGGGTTCGATTCCCGCACGAGGCAGAAACAAATGGGCAAAGTTTCTTTCACCCTGAATGCCCCTGTTACCTAGCAGTAAATAGGTACCTGGGAGTTAGTCAGCTGTCACGGGCTGCTTCCTGGGGGTGGAGGCCTGGTCGAGGACCGGGCCGCGGGGACACTAAAAGCCCCGAAATCATCTCAAGATAACCTCAAGATAACCATGTGTTTGAAGTTCTCCTTGAATATTATCCTCAAATGCAGAGACTGTACTCATATAATATCCAGCACATTTCTTCAAATGCTCAAAGAAATATTAGTTACAAGCTCTTGAGATCAGAACGGCATCAGGAAGGATCAAGATCCTTCCAGCCAAGTGTTCCCACCAGTTTCCTTATCCAGCATGCAGCACACAGCTATGCATTTTTGAGAATCCAGATGACACTCTTATTGAGCTATCAATAAACACCTCAGTGGATGCCACTTTACTGAAGATGCTGTAATTATAGATGAAGATTATAGATGAAGCACCAGAGTGACTGTAAACAAAAGGACAGTACTAAAGTTCATAATTCAACCGGATAAAATCATCAGGAATAATGGGGGGGGGGGAGAAATGTTGACAAGACACTCACTTTTTGTCCCTGTCGAGGCCACTAGAGGTGGTGGTCCTCAGGTGAATATAGGCGAATATCTATGCAGGTGGCACATAAACGCTAGGACTACACAAGAATAAATATTTCTATCTAGGTAGTGGCTATTAGAAAGAGCATCCGCAGGGAGGGTACTATGAAAACAAAAATGTGAAAAGTTCTGAATATAAATTTAGTTCTTAGAAGTTCTTAGAATTAAGGCCAATCATAAAATTAAATGAAAAACCCATTATGACACGTGCATAGTTATAAACTGCAGCATCAACATTCATTATAAGTGAATGTTGATAAAATATATATAAATTAATTAAATAAATATAAATGATTAATGTACTACATTAATATATAATGTCAAACTCTTTTTTTGGGGGTGAACTGGAAATTAAATTAAATAAATATGGATATATATATTAAACATTTTAATAAGATGTTGTTAGTGCACACTACAGCCACCATTTTTTCTTCTAAGTTACACTGGCAAGCAAACCTGAACCTTATTCTTGCTGATCCTAAGGTTCATTTTGCAACATTTATCATCAAACATTACACAATTGGAAGGTGAACTGCCACTGACCCATTGCAATTTTGTTTGTAAATAGTGACTTTGAGATTAAACATATTTTTATGATGTGTGTGAATGTACTTGGGTGTACATTATATCTTGTACATGCATACAAAATACACACAAACAACCTAAGTAGATGAACATATATTTCCATTTAAAAGTACAGTAGAACCTCATTTTTGTATGCTGAAGAAAAACTAAAATTGCCAAAGTTGAATAAATAAAAATTCTTCTGTACATAAAGTGTAAAAAATTCTGGACATTATTATACACAAATTTATTTTTGTTTTTGTTAGTTTTACAATGTTTCGAGGCACGCAGTGAACCGTGCTCTCATTATGCTTTAAGCGCAAGCTTCTTATAAAAAAAGTCTTGCTAAAAAAGTTATCTATAAAGATTTAGTCAGTTAACCCTTCTTATTTGCAGCTTTTACTAAGCTTTTAATCTTCTTATAGCCTGTAAGTGTTTGTATGATATATATGTAATTACCTAAATGAAAAAAACTATGCATATGGTAATCCCCTCATCCTTGTGCAGTACTGTATGACTTATATTTTACTTTGAATTCAGCTGTAATTCCCGAACTGACTTCTGAATCCCGAAGGACTTGAACGTTTAATTTTTCTACAACTCGATTAACCAAAAAGGTGGTTCTTTTAATCTTTCCTAATCTTTCCTCTTCTTTGCTTGCTTATTTCAAACGTGTGTCCTTTAGTTTAGTTTGCGACCAGTCATAGGATCTCTTCCTTATCCATCTTTTCTCTCCCTGACATTATTTTAAACATAATTACAAGGTCTCCTCTTGCCCTTCTTTCTATAAATTTTAATGTCTTGTTTCTCTTCATTTTTCTCCATAGCTCCTTCCCAGTTATAGTACCCATTTTGCTACATTCCTCTGAACCACCAGTGACCTGTTTATGTCCTTTTTTGGGGGAAGAACTTCCCTTTGGTGCTCTCCAAGCTACCCATCTAAAACCCTGATCACCTACTGGAGAGACCAGGAGCAGAATCCAGCTCTTTCAATAGATATAGGAAGGTCTGGGGAGGAAAGATCACCACAGTACTATTGTAAGACCTACATAAGTTAGATAGATAGATAGGTAGAGCATACCTAAACAAGCAACTGCTTAGACAACATTTGCAGCCCCGATGCAAACTATGTAGACACTTGTTCTGTAGGTCCAAGTGCGATAGGTCAATCCAAGTCGCGTGATAGGCTTACCCTGCATACTGCTCCTATGTAAACCTGTTTGCACATGTAACCCTTCATCTTGCACTCAACTCTACCTAAAGCAAGCAATGTTCTATCTTAGTTAACCTTCCCACCCTTTCCCATCTATGTTGGTATCTTAAAAAAATGGGAACCTTTCCCTTTTTTCCACAAAGCCTCCCTACCACCTACATGGTCACAGTGCCTTCAGAGGCAACTCCTCCCTCAAACATTTATTTGGGGCATTTCATGAAAAATGTCAAACCCGTATTTTTATATCTAATAATTCTAATTTAATTCATTGTGTCGGGAGACAACATCAATGCTATGTACTCTCATAAACCCATTGTACCTTCTTGGATATTTATAAATAAATAAATAAATAAAAATAAATAAAAAATATGTCAAATACTAAAATGGATTAAACAATCAGGCAAATAATTGGATTAAATTATTAAACAAATAACAAATTAAATTATAAACGATGAAACAAATCGATTAAGCAATAGAAAGCAAAGAGTCATCCTAAATAGAAATGAATCTGACTGGAAAAATGTTGTGAATGGGGTAGTGTAAGGGTCCATCTTGGGGCCAACCCCTTGTGCGTATTAGTGGCTTCAGATATTGTATGTACGAGCTTTATCTATTACTCCAACATTATGCTTGTAACTCATTTTCAATGTATGTACCTTTACACAAATAAATATCTTATCTCTCTTATCTTATCTTAAATATATATACAGATCAAAATATTTGTAAATTAATTAAAAGCAAATTTCCTATAAAATATTTTTATATTATTTGACTAGGAGAAATATGTCAGGAAAGCATGAATTCAATGAAGTCGATTAAAGACGAATAACGACTAAGAATGTGAGGTCAGGTTGGGTCAATGGCAGTGCACCTCCATGGGACCACCAAGGAAAATGGTGAGCCACGCAGGAAGCATATGAGCCAGCAAGCCAAGAGAAGACACAGCGGTGGTGGTGGGAAGCAAACGGTGCCTTAGTGTTGGGAGTGAGACATGCTCCAAGTGTTTCATTAAAGATGCATGTATAACTGTTCTGCTTTGCTCAAACTGCTCAGGGAACACACTGACTGGATTAATTATAAGGAGAAATTTGAGGGGGAAATGGTCTTGTTAGCAAACATAATCTGTCTCAGAAAAAAGACAGCTTGATTGTGGAAGTTGTTAATGGAAGCCTGAATCTATGCTGAGTAGCAGAAACGAACTGAGAATTGATAGTGAGAACTAGATACTATTTTGGTGGTGAAACATATTACCAAGTCCAATCATGCACACTGAGACACACTGAAATCTTGAGAGAAAACAATTATAGTTTATTTTACTCCATCAAAGAAAGCAAAAGACTGTACTTGTAAATCCCACAACTGTCCATTCTCGACTATCAAGAGATAACTTACCTTGATTAGTTTGTGTTGTACAGAATGTCTTGATGAGTGTGTCGGTGGTTTGTGTGTACAATGACAACGCATAATTCAGAGATTTCAGTTCTGTAGATTTGTCAAGGAAGTTCTTTTTAAGGCCATTGCCACCTGCATGGAAGTACTGTTTTATGGTGTCCAGGGCCACCTCCAACACAGCGCATTGCTTGGGTGTTAGGTTACGCTCGAAGTCCTTGGAGATATCCTGTCAGAGACAAATTTATTATTAAAATGAACACCTTGACATTTGTTAAAATGATATGTTCTCTTTAACCCTTTGAGGATAGTTTTCTCAAACTAGTCATGCTCATAGGATTGAATTTTTCAATTACTGTATGGTAAATAAAAATATGAATGATACATATAACTGATAAAACTGTAAATGACATATAATCTACAAAAGTCCACACAGAAAGTACTTTCCAACAAATTTTTTCCAGTTTTCCATTTTCCAGTTTTTCCAAAATTTTATATATATTTTTAAGTAACTGCAATAATTAATACATTCCTTGATGCAATATTTACAGGTATTCTTCAAGTTATTAATACCTATAAAAGTATAATTACAATATTTGTTGGTATACACACAATAATAGTAACTACTGTCCTAAAATGACAATTGTTTGACATGCTGACAAGAGGATTTTAAGACAAGAGACTGCAATATTGTGAGGATTTTTTCTCCAAAAGTCTGGCAGACACACACACACACACACACGTTGCTGTGTGTGTGTGTGTGTGTGTGTGTGTGCTTACAGTGCCAACATGCCTATATGGCACTGTAATCAGAATCCCCAAATTATTTTGGTATCAAAAGAAGTAATTCAAGAACACATGAGATTTCATAATATAATTTGATGATAGAGTAGATGTATGTTGTATCAACATACTGATGTATCAACATCAACGTCCAGTATTGGGGTTTTGTAGCTAAATGCTATACTAACAAATCAAGCAGTATATTTCCATGCATTGACAGAAATGAAACTCCTGGTAGGAAGGTATAATGCATGGCGGGGCGGTATAACCTATAGCGGGACAGTATAACCTGTGACTGGGAAGTATAACCCATGACATGATATGGAAGTATAACCTATAACATGACATAGAAGTATGACCCATGATAGGGAAGTATAATATTACAATATACATTACAAGTATAACCTAAGAAGAGCTATCAAATAAGGCAAATTTGTCTAACAAATAGTTTACAGAAAGCCATATAACATAAAAGAGCTTCAATTAAAATAAAGTTTTAAGAATAAAGACAATACATGCATAAACACTTTATAATAATAAATAAATACTGCAGCAATAGTTTAGGCATCTAATCTAAAAATAATAACTTGATATCAAGTTATCCAACACACAAATTAAATGTTTGCTAATGAAACATGCAAATAATTTGATTCTGCCACATCCTACATAAAATTTATTGCCTGTATCTACTGAACAGGATATATATAAAATAAGAAATTCATAAAACAGTTATAACATGCTAAACTATAAATAGACATAAAAATAGATCAAAATAATACACTGAAATATTTTAAAAAACAAGGACTGTATTAACTGTATTTAACTCATAAATACTGTATTAACTCATACAATACTGTATTAACTCATACAATACTGTATTAACTCATACAATACTGTATTAACTCATACAATACTGTATTAACTCATACAATACTGTATTAACTCATACAATACTGTATTAACTCATTACGATAACATGCTTCAACTGCAACGTTACAGACAAAAACAACATTTGAGAAAAAAGGAAAACTCTGCATCCTAAATTCAAATTAACAAAAGATGAACAGTAGCAATCTATGCCTAAATAACAATCAAAAGAGATACAAGCCATGCTATAATTTGACACAACTAGACCCAGACCATGATGTTTGAGACAGCATTCTTGACATCTTTGCCACCAGCCAGTTGGTTCTTGAAGAGTCGAGACATGTCCTCAATCTTGGCATTGGCGGCTAGGTTCTTGGCATTATCCGTAAGGTTCTTGAGCATCATCTGGTGGTAAGCAGCATGTATGTGTGAAGATGAACTTTGTCCTGGGGCGACACCAGGTTAGGCAATATGTACCGTACAAAGAAAATAGGTATTGAAAGAGGGTGAGGTGTCCAATTATACTTATTGGGTAAATTAAAAAGTGTAATTACCTAAGTGTAGTTACAGAATGAGAGCTATACCCATGATGTCCTGTCTTCACAATTATCTTTTTCATGTAACACTTTGAAACTACAATGCTGATGGTTTTCGCATCCACAACCTTCTAACTTATTCCAACTGTCTACAACTCTGTTTGCAATTGTATGTGGAGTGCTACATGCTTTAGGTTATCTCTGCTCTTAAAGTGCCTTAGCCATCCATCTGCATTGCTTTATCCCTTTTACTTTGAGCATAACAGGCAAAGATCTTAGGTTTTGTCTACACACACACAAAATAGAAGTTGCCCCCTTCTCCCTGTATACAGCACACAAAACTTAGAAACCTCACTCCACTTTTGTAATTAATATCTGTTCCAAATTCCCAGATTATATTATTTTCACTTGTCGTTGCTGCTAAGATAGCCTTTAGTGACAAATTTCCAGAATTTTAAGCTGACAGGATGGCAGGATGTTCAGTATTTTCAATAAAATATCAGAAGAGCTGAGTGAAAAAAAAAAGTTCCATGCGTGCCACTGACAATGAAAACAATGCTCAGGTTGGTGGCATGGTGGCGGTTCAGAGGAACACGGAATCACCACTAAGAGGCGGGGCCAGAGAAAATTAATAGTCAGACAATTCGAATAGAATGAGGTCGAACATCGAGAGCCACATATTACGTATTAAGATATGATGTGCCATGCCTGCCACAAATATAGTTATACTGTATAGTATTGTTAATTTTTATACAAAATTATTAATAAAAATTTACAAACATAAAATGGCAGAAGGCTATTTACAAATTATATGAAGTGTCATAAAAGGTGAAATGAGGTGGTAGGCATATACAAAGTATCCTGGTTTCAGCACAAAATATTTAAATTTCATTGACTTTAAAATAAACTAATATTCACAGTATTAATAAGGGAATTAAAATATGTATACAAAATTTATTGCATAATATTATTTGTTATAGTAAATTAATAAATTTACATAACTTAGTTAATATTAAGAGTCTATTGAAGAAGTATGTAGTGCTCATGTATTTATTTGCTGCAAAAATATAACAGAAAACGTTGAACAAATTCAAGGAATGCACCTCCAATTATATAAGGAAACTCAGTAGGAAAATAGGATTTGATATAGGGAATTTTTCTTAATGACAAATTTTTAGGAATATATATCTGTCCTGTATAGTGAGGGATAGGTGCAGAGCATAATACTGTTACACATATTGAAAGTTCACTACTTTCATCAAGACAGAAATAAGTATATCCAGGACCACAGTACGATCAAACTTACTGCCTTGTCAGTCATGGGTGGCAGCACAACTGTCTTCTCCATCGTGGTCATGACAATTTTCCACAACTCCTTGAGAAGTCGCTTCAGGACTGTCTTCTCACAGGACTGGGCATAAAGGGTGAGGGATACTTCCAGCAAGTCCATTAGGGGTACTAGTACATCATCAGCCTCAATAGCAACCTCATTACGTTGTGATGGCTGCACTTGTCCTGTACCCTTTACTGCTGCTAGTTTGTCACCCATTTCTTTTACTTTTACAGCAATACGACCTTCCAAGCTGAAAGGAAAAGATGAAGTAAATGCAGTACAAAAATTGGCAATGAAAGGTAATCTTACAATCTTACAAGAGCTGCTATTGCTTTGGTAAGGATAATTATTTTTGGATACGTTTATTATATTAATGGGCAATCCTAGAATAATTCACAATTATTATGAGAATTGAAATATTAGAGAAACTGTCTTGAGTTAAGACAGAATTGGAGATGGTGAAAAGGCAAGTATATTTCTTCAAAGCAGAGAATGAAAAGCCATATACACGATGCAGAGAAAAGGAATGAAAAGTGTATCCTCATTGGTAAGAATTGTCTGACGATTAGGATGAGGAAATGTGAGGGGAATAGGTACAGAAGTTGAAAATGAAAATCACTTAGCTGTCCTACATGACGCATGCTGCAGATTCCTCATTTCTTATATCCATACATTCATGCTGACCAATCCACACACTAGAAAATGAAGGGACGACGACGTTTCAGTCCGTCCTGGACCATTGTCAAGTCGATTGAGAATGGTCCTGGACCATTGTCAAGTCGATTGAGAATGGTCCAGGACGGACTGAAAAGCCGTCGTCCCTTCATTTTCTAGTATGCGGATTGGTCAACATACTTCAGCCACGTTATTGTGATTCATCGCCTCCATACATTCATCTATGTCTCAAATTATGTACTGACCTCTTGGCAAACTTGTGGGCCAGCTCATCCAGGACGGTGTTGAGGGTTGCCTGCAGTTCGTTGAGGATGGTGGCAACATCTTCCTCTAAGTTACCACCGCCCATCTTCTCATACATCTTCTCCAGCTGAACTCTAAGTTGCTGGATGTTGTTCATCAGAATGCAAGCCTACCCACGGGAATAACAACACATATTATAGCAAAGATTTGCATTAAAAAAAAAAAAGAGATACTATTTCTGCTAACTGAAATCACAACAACATATTATATCAGTGATAACCTTTTGGAGCAATACTGTGGCCAATAATAATAATATTAATACTCATATATTAATACTCATAATATTAATATTAATATATTAATACTCAGTAATACTCATATATTTACTCCGATTGGAATGTACATGTATTTTATAAAATACATGTACCTGTACATGTATTTTAAAGACTAAGCTTATTATACTATTATTATTATTATAACAATTAACACAATGTTTGTTGATATTAGCTTCTTTTTGCAATATCCACAGTACTATGTATAATTATAAAAATAAATACATCAATGTTTATGAGTAAAAATATTATTACTATATTATTATTAAAAGCTTCAGGGAGGCTTGTATCCCATGAACACCTACACACATTTTATTTTATTTTATTTATTTATTTATTTATATATAGGTAAATATACAAGTTAGATGATGTTTCATTAAACAGAATCCTAAAGAGTTTAGAGGTAACATTTGACTGAATTCAGGTAAATATTATCTGATGGCATTTATGCTTACATGAATATAATATAATTTTAACCAACGCTAATATCAAAATTGCATCTAAATTATAACGCTTAATGTTGCCTGCATAAAATAAAACATCCACCTACATTTTAACCATGGCTCTGCAAATAATCAATAGATAACATGTTATTATAACTATATTTAGTTTTAAAACTTGTACGAAACACTGCATGAAATTTGGCATCTCGATATACGATGAATTACATAAAGTTTGTCTCATTGGTTCAACACAATCCCAAATTTATACAATTTCTCTTTCAAAAAAGGTAAACAAACAAAAAGATAGAACGTGAGACAAGAGATATGAGAAAATACTCAAAAATGCTTCCATTGCTATGAAATTACATCCATAATTCCCCCAAGACTAACCTTTTTCTCATCACCAACATAATTAGGAAACTCTTTCTTGGTAATATCAGCATAGGCTAAGAGCACTTTGACTATCGTCTTGGCAAATCTCTTCATGAATCTTTTCCAAATCTCAGGATCTGGACACTCAAGTTTGGAGACAACACCAAAGCACTGCGTCAGCTGAGTGAAGACATCTACCACAGAGTTAGAGAAGAGCGAACTCTCTGAACTAACTGGGAACTGTGAAAAAGTAGAGGGACATGGAATACATTTGTAGCATTTGCGAGTACAAATAATATATTCACTACACATTTTTTACAAAGATGTTGTTTAGCTGATGTGACATAGATATGATTGTTTATATTTTTAGATGCTATACATATACAGAACTTTGCAGGTTTTGTTTTAATTATTCAGTAACTATTTGCAGAGAAAGAGAAGTCAGTTTGTTGTCTCTTTACTCAGTGACATCTTCAAAGTGTGGAGTATATGTTTAAACACATGCAGTTCATACGTGACTTTTTTGTTCCTGGAATTTACTTTATGTAATATTTAGGAATTGACCTAGTTCTCAAGAGATAGCTATCTTTGAGTACAAAATTATTTACATTGACATGCTGACCAGGCTAGTTGTACTAAGAATGATATGCTAACCTCATCTTTTTTATCTCTCTGGAAGGCACCGTTGAGGTACTCGAGCGACACATCGTCGTTCTCGTTTAGCCACTGCATCACAAACGGCTCAAACCACCTGTAACAGACATTACATTAGATGAAATGCTGCAATACTTAGCTAGAAAAATAATAGAAGAAAGGTTTCATAATAACCATTTGATTACTTTTTATGGTTGTTCACTCAGTGCGAGTCGTCATAAATGAAGCAGGACGACTTTCTAAATTCTTACTTTTTAGTAAGTGAAAAGTTGAAAACCAAGGCAGCAAAGTGTGATGAACATATTTAACATTATTTCCCCATATATTCCTTAATTCCAAAATTCTTTAAAAATTCATTGTTAATGGTAAGGTACACCCAAGTTAAACACTGTTGGGACTGAGCAATACCTGGATGGGTGACTGCAGATACCCTTGCCCTTGGCCAGCCGTAGGACCTCAATAAGACTAACAGACTTTATGTTCCCAACAATGTACTCTATACTAGAACTCTATATGAAATGTGATGCAATGCATATTATTGCTTACAAATTTCCACTTAAATTTATATTTACGTATACAGTAGTACCTATATTATAGATATAAAAGAAGTGAAGTACCTGATGGGGAAAACCTGCTGATTACATTATGTCCTGGTCCAAAACAGAAAGCCTCGGCCATACATGCCCACTATTGTAATGATTCTCGAAGTAGCGATGAGTCAAGTGATATCCCATCACTTGCAAAATAGTAATGAAGAACACTAGCAAGTAAAAGGACTTTAAACCACCAGGAGTGGATTTAATTCATTTAAAATGATAAAGGAAATAACTCATGACTAATGTCTGATGCTGAAACTTCTATAAACAAAATTCATAGACCATGGAAAGTGCCTCAAGACTGGAAACATGGAAACATCATACAGAAATGAGTTTAAATGATGGGTCTGCATATGGAAACATCATTCGTGTCTTCAAAGAATGGCAGAAGTTCAGCAGAAAACTACATACCAGTCACCCCTAATCGCACAACTGCAAGCTTCTTAACCTCACAATTGGCAGCTGCTCAAGAGAACCTTGAGATAAGATATTACCCACCTTGTAACAAACAAATCTGCATAATGAATCTGCTCATATCTCTGCAAACATTAAGCAGCTATACAAATCAACGATTGACAGTCACTGTAGTGCGTGCTACAAGTCACTGCAAAAGTCAAATGACTTTGTGACTACAAATGACTTTGTAAAGTCACTGGACTTTACAATGAGGTGGTCTGGATAATAATACAATCCACTCCTATAAAAGGTCTAATATAATATACACAAGGGGGGCAACAGCTTCAAGCTTAACAAGCCATAATATAGGACAAAAAACAGGAGATGCTTTTTTTTTCACTCACAGGGTAATAAACCCATGGAATCACCTTCCGTTGCCAAAGCTGTAAATACCAAGACATTACTTCACTTTACAATTCAGTGGGAAAAACCCTCAGAAATAATAGGAGAATCTTAGACAAGTCATCGGCTTCATGTCTCTATCAAGGTTACTAGAGATGGTGCTCTTCAGGTAAATATGATGATCATAATACTATAATAAATAATAATAATAATTCATTTACAAAACATCCAGCATTGAATGAAATAGAATGCTGATCTCTCATGGGTCACTCAGCAGCTCCCCAATGAAAATGATGTACATTTATTTATTTATTTATTTATTTATTTATGCATATACAAGAAGGTACATTGGGAATGTGAGGATACATAATATGGTAATTACAATCTTGTAAAGCCACTAGTACGCGCAGCGTTTCGGGCAGTAATGTATGTACATACATTACATAGTATGGCAATTATAAATTATGTACATACTACAAGCGTTATAAGACATGATGACTGATACTTACGCTGGGTATTCAGGCACTTGGTCTTTGTAGGGAGGCACGTCCTTTACGTAATTATTGTACAGCCACTTCACCTAAGAGGGAAAATTAAAATCAAGGGTTCAACGCTTAATATCTGATGTGAAACTATTCCGTATATATAAATACGCAACTGCTAAGAATTCTGCTGAATAACAAATAATGAAACCTTTACCTTTATTATGGTAAAATGGATTATACCAACAGATGAAGACTTATCAAGAAAGGATCTTCAGTAAAATATAACTGATACCCAACTGTACAATAACAAGAACATGAACAAAAGTCAAGCGAATTTTCAAATGAATTTGACAATTCAGTTAACAATAACTTTTCCAATGGTAAAAATTATGGTATTTTATTTGAAACTCTTCACTAGATTGACAGTTGTGAGCTCACCTTGAAGTGTAGATTCATGTATTCACTGCTCTTGCACAGGCGATGCTGCTCATGCTCCTCGAGGGCATATTTAATGTCCACCGCAAACATGCTCCACATCGTTGATGCAGAAAGCTGCAATACAAAAGCTGGTTATCACATTGTCGAAAATCATAGTCAATAGGCTAAGATTATTTCTAGTTTGAGATAAATAAGGTAGTGTATAACTACTTCTGCCTCTGAAGTTATCAGTGGTCGCTTAAAGTACAGCATTTTTCTCTTACCAGAGAAACTTTCATCTCCTTCATGCTCAATGCTCATGCTCATACTGACTTCTGACACTTAATATTCCATATAATACACATCTGATACACCTATACTGGACATGAGAAACAGGGAAAATATTGCCAATAGTGATGAAGAGTCACTATCAACCCTGTAGTCACTTTTATGCTTCTTAAAGGACTTCAAATACACCCATGAACACCCACACAAGAAACAAACATTTATTTATTTATTTATTCAAGAAAAGACTAGCTAAACAGGTATTTGGTACTCCAAGAGCAAGACTGAACTAAGGAAGAAATACCGTGCAAATAATGGAGCCTAAATTGTGGAGTGACTCCCCAAATGCAATACATCTCTTAAACAATTTGAAATAAGAACAAATAAAATATAATTATTGTTGTTATTTATTATTATTATTAGTTCAGTCACCCTCCATCCTTATTAAAAAAATTTCACACACCTGTCCAATGTTGAACTCCTGAGGAAATTGGTTGAGGACGGGGGCATAGCTGTTCTTGTCCTCCTCAATGACAGAGACAATGAGGGCAATCAGCTTGTGCCAGAAGTCAACGCTTTCCAGCCGTGGCCCCTGTTCTCCACTTTCCTTTTTTTCTGATGGGTCCACCTGCATGAACACAGGAGCATTAGATAGCAAATGGATGGCAAATACAGTATTTAATATTATAATAATAATAGTTTATATACGTAAAAGTACATACAAACAAAATGACTTAAAGGCAGAAATGTTGGATTTCTAGGAGAGCTACTGTATATACTATGCCTAAAGCCAGTAATACGCACAACATTTCGGCCAAGCATTTCATTTCATTACATTCTTAACTTGCAACGTAAAACAATGACTACTAGCATCACATATGATGTTTCTATTAAAAAATGGTTGTACTGTATTACCACAAGAATGTCTTACCTGAAATTCTCTATTATAGAGCTCATAACAGTTCTCAAAAAGGAACTGGTAGGTAGATTTGAGACAGGCAATAGCACAGTCTCTCACAACCACACTAGCTCGTGGTGGCGATGATAATTCCTGTACCTATGGAGATCAAGAAAAGTTAGGTTAATCTATTATTTATTTATTTATTTGTTCATAATGAAGAAGATACAGTGGGTTGCTAAAGTACATATATTGGAGGGCTGAGTAGTACATTTTTGTAAAGTCACTAGCACGGATAGCATTTTAGGCAGGTCCTTAAACTAACTAACAAGCGTATGATATGTACATTGTAACAGAATTTTAATTCGCATTATAAAAATTCACTGTGTTGGGAGACAGGAAGCCAGAGTGTATTCATACATGTTTGGCTTTTATTGAGATCCCTTAAGTCCCGAGGTTCTACTTAAGTTCAAAAAGTACTTAGTACTTGGAGAGATCAAAGCAGGATAGATACAAAAGTTATGAGAAACCCTTCTTATCCACAGATAACAAGGTACACTATGGGATCACATTAAGTTATGAAACAAAGTTAATTTTTTAACTCGGTAAGTCAAGTAGGTTAGACATTAAACTGACTTATAAAATAGTGATCAATCCTATCCTTAAAATTATGGTAAGTTTCAGAAGTGGACAAAATAAGATGATGGATCATAGGCTTTGAAGGAAAATATAAATAATAATATTTTATTCCCGCAGTATACAATGGACATGTCAAAGTGATTAAGTGAAGAACAAGAGGGGCTTGGGCGATGGATAGATATCATCATGGGAACAGAAAGCTGAGAATTATATATGAAACAGGTCTCTTGTTGGCATAGTAGGAATAAAACAGGATTGAAGATTATACTGGCTACACACTTTAGAGCCCTGGCTGCTCATTTGAGGAGAAGTCCATAAGGACAAAGCATAAGAGTTATGCTGGTACATAAAAACACAGCATTGTACTGTATATATCTGTTTTAGATAGGACAGTATGACAAATATCATAATATGCTGCAAAAGGCATACAGAAATGAATACTTACTTTCATTCTGAAGAAGGTTATGGAAGTGAGAAGGTCAACAGTGGATTTAAGGTCCTGAAGCTTCTCATTTGAGCTGGCAGGGAAATTGTTGCGGTACATGGACAGGTCAATCCGTAGCGAGTTGTGCAATTGGTCCAGCAGCTTCACGAATTTCTCTTTCTATAAAGTAAAATATGTACTTGAATGATCATAAAATGTTTGATACACTGCCGTTAACAGTTTAATGATTTCAGATACTCTAATTTTCAGGGAGAAAAGTTTGCTTAGTCAAGAGGCCTTGACAATAATTTGAATTCCCACTGCCAGGTACAGGAAGCCTGTACAGTACTTAGGTTTATAGAGGTCCACCTAGGCCAACTACTAACCTTTCCCAGGATGCAACTCACAACAGTTCCCTAACTCCTGGGAGCCTTTTTACTGCTAGGTGAATAGAAACATGCCAATAATTTCTGGCCCGTATGAGGACCAAACCAGTGATACTCAATTGTCAACTGACAATGTAGACCACTGTGCTACAGAAAGCTGGGCTTCTCTAAGCTAGATGTCTTGACAATTTTCAGGAGAAAGTGGTTGGTTAGCAAGTATTCAGGAATTTTATAATGGCAGACACATTATTAATCTATAATAGCAAAGAAAATTACTCAGCAATCATATGCATCATTGCTGAAGTACATGTGAAAAGAATTTCCCGATGACAATGTTTAACTTAAATATTGTGCAGGGCTACATACTTTTTACTTCTTCTAAAACTAAGTTGCCAGTCTTCTTGCATTTATATAAATATACAGAAATATGTACTGTACTGAACTAATATTAAATAAAACCAGTACTTAGAAATATTTCAATTTGTTTACTTATATAAACAAATATTTTGAAAATTCTAAGACTTAAAAAAAAAACACTTACACCAAAGTTAGAAGCTGCAAATCTATCTGAGGCAGAGACCGCAGAGGAGGCGGTGGTGTGTGCATAGAAGGCATTAATGTTCGCCAGAAGTGTAGACATGACGGCTGGCACACCTGGACACAGGTACTTCGTCGACAGGCAGTGGAAGTGGCTGTCGAGGGGAAAACCAAGATCGTTCTAGTCAAACTGAGATGAAAAGTGAATGTATGTAAGATGATGGCAATCATAATTATTGTCAGATGGATGAATTAGAATAGTTAAGGAGACTTGTATTAGAGTGGAAGAGATCAATAGGGATAAATGAAGAGGTAAGAACAGCGTAATTGATTCTGTAAGATAAAATCTATATACAGTAGACATACTGGCTTAATAGGGTTTTTTCCTCATAACTGTATTGTAGGATAAAATTATTATTTTAAGGAAACTGAGTTGTGTAATCATTAATAAAACATTTCCAAATATATAATCTACAATACAATACAACTTAAAATTTAACTGTGATGGAGAGATCTGTTTGTGGCAAACATGGGATGAAAGGAAAAAAAATTACTAATTTTACATTCGGCAAAATCAAAATTTTTAAATAATTTGTTGTGAAGCATTTATTTAGTAAAATAACTGGTGACAAATTTCATGGCTTCTACTGGTCACAAATGAATGTAGTTTAAAGTATTGTGAAATTATAATTTGCAATAAATATATACAGCCCTTTCTTTAAAAAATGAAAATCCAACAGTAAAAGTAATTTGATGTACTGTATCTGACACCATCACTTATTTGCATCTTTCTGCTGATACAGAACAAGCCAGTGGGGGTACTTTACTTACGTCATGGCTTGGTAAATGCTCTCAATGCCGTATCTCATGGCAAACTCATCTACAATATCTTGCGCATGATCATCAAAGTAGACTTTCCAAGCATCATCGCCCTTCGCCTGCGGTAGCTTGACAGCACCCCCATCCACCTCGCACAGGTAGTGGAACAGGTTCTCGTGAAGGCATGTATATTGTACGTGGTATGGAGCCACCTTCTCCTCACCCTTGATTTCTACAGAGATGTGTAATCTGATGGCACCCGACACGGCTGACTTGTCTGTGCGTTTCTCCAGATTGTACCATACATCCATCTCACCTGACAGTGTCCGCACCTAAAATGCAAGCAATATGGAAAATAGTTTGTCATTTAGGGGCTATTCATGCCCTTGCCACATCTTGGGTGGCTTAATCTTCATCAATTATCAATCAATCGAAAATAGTTAACATTGCTATGATACGCTCTATTTATAAATACTGTACATGTACTGTATTTGTAATTTTTTTTACATACTAATTCAATTAGGGTTGCATATTTGATAATGGCAAACAGTGTATGGCTGACTCCATACACAGTTTCAAATGTAGATATGATAGAGCCCAGTAGGCTCAGGAATTTGTACACCAGTTGATTGATAGTTGAGAGGCGGGACCAAAGAGCCAGAGCTCAACCCCCTCAGGCACAACTAGGTGAGTACATAGAACCCTCATCCTGTAACTACAATTAGGTAGTTACACACACACACACATGTACACTTAAGCACATACAAAGACAATCCTCAGTTGACACACACACACACACACACACGTATGCAGAATATAATACACATATTTCGAAATATCACATATTACTTTCAAAAGAATCCAGCAGATAGAGTTTGATGAGCATGTAACACCCATGACCCCCCCCCCCTTAGAGTTCTCACCCAGGGAAGCCTTCTCCAGGAGGTCAGCCCAGATGACCTCTGGATTATCTTGTATGTTGATTAAAAAAATTCCTGGGTTAGTCTTAGTCAGCTAGTTTCAAGTATGTAATATTTCATGATACTCTTGTCAAACATTGCAATGGAATTAGACCCCAGATTCTTATGTGTAAACATCCATGGATCTCCCCCTTTTAGCCAGGTCAGAGGTCAGTCACACACGTAATTAATAATTCTTCTCTTGAACAGTGTATGGTGAATGTCAAACAAGTTTAATGAAAATTCTTGAGTGTTTGTGCACGTGTGGCCCGACCTCTTTTCGATCTAGGTAGCAACAGCAAATCTTCCCCTTCCCCCTGTTGGGGTTGTATATATATTGGTCCTGTAGAGACTTAGAGACAGAGTGCAGGACACCGACAGAGTGCGGGACCGGGGTCGAGAGAGGGCTGTGGAGAACATCGCACAGCAGGGAGTGACAGTGAATCTACCAGATGGAGAGACAGAGGTCTTAAGGTAATGTGTGTGATCGCTGAGGTTTTGTTCCATGTCTAAATTTCTTAACTCTTGGCCAGTGTTAGAGTAGGATTTATAAGTGGTGATACCTTACCTTGAGGTTACCTTGAGGTGCTTCCGGGGCTTAGTGTCCCCGCGACCAGGTCATCGACCAGGTCTCCTGGTTGCCGGACTGATCAACCAGGCTGTTGGACACGGCTGCTCGCAGCCTGACGTATGAGTCACAGCCTGGTTGATCAGGTATCCTTTGGAGGTGCTTATCCAGTTCTCTCTTGAACACTGTGAGGGGTCGGCCAGTTATGCCCCTTATGTGTAGTGGAAGCGTGTTGAACAGTCTCGGGCCTCTGATGTTGATAGTTCTCTCTCAGAGTACCTGTTGCACCTTTGCTTTTCAACGGGGGTATTCTGCACATCCTGCCATGTCTTCTGGTCTCATGTGATGTTATTTCTGTGTGCAGGTTTGGGACCAGCCCCTCTAATATTTTCCACGTGTAAATTATTGTGTACCTCTCCCGCCTGCGCTCAAGGGAGTACAGTTTAAGGCTCGTTAGTCGGTCCAAATAGTTTAGATGTTTTACTGAGTGGATTCTAGCAGTAAAGGATCTCTTTAGTGATTAGCATAATTTTGATCTCAATAAACTCATGTTAAATTTCCCGTCTGTCAGTTGTTGAATCCTCTTAGACGTTTGGATATAGTGGCTGACAACCGTCCCTTAATTAATGACAGTCATAGAAAGTACTCTTCTTGCCTCGTTGCTTGATGTAGTCTCAATGGTGAAGGCAGATGGTGGCAGCGTTTGTTTTAATCCTGTGTAGCATTTCCTTGTTGGCAGTGTACCTTTTGGTTCCGGTGTAACCATCATATGTCAGCTCATATTACAGTGTTCAATAACAGTGTTACCAACTGCAACCAATGGGAAGTGCTACTCAGGATAAGTAGTAGTGTTTACATTATTAGTTTAGTATCCATTATAGTGGTGTTACAATTATAGTGGTGTTACAAGCATGGCGATGGCACCACTGGAATACCCGCGGCCTGCCGAGATGGCAGCTAATCCAACACTCACATAACATCTTAAGAAGTTGTTTTGCTTCGGGGAAAAAACAATATCGGAGATTGCAATTTAATATTCATAATGCTAAGAGATCAGATTTAGCTTAGGGGCTTCTCTATGAAGACCATTCACCGTGACTTTCTTTCACTGTTACTGTACTTCACTGTTACTTTACCTCAATGTTACTGTACCTCACTGTTACGTTACCTCAATGTTACTTTACCTCAATGTTACTATACCTCAATGTTCCTTTACCTCACTGTTACTGTACCTCACTGTTACGTTACCTCACTGTTCCTTTACCTCACTGTTACTGTACCTCACGGTTACTTAATCTCACTGTTATTAATTTCACTGCTACCTCACATCATTGTTACTTTACCTGTTACTTTACATCACTTATTTAACCTCACTGTTACTTTATATATGTCCCCCGTTACTTAAATCTCAATTGCATTTCATCTCACTATCACTTGTTTTTTTTAATCTGGTAACTGTCTTCAGTGTTATTTCTGGTGTTTAGGGTCTCGTAATTGGTCCTTGACTCAGTTGTAACGAGTCAACCACGCTCACCACCACTAACTACCAGGTACACATAATTATGTGAGTGAGAGAAATATGTCACGATTTTTTTTTTTTGGGGGGGGGGAGGGGAGGGGGGAATTATGGAACTTTTAATGTGCAAAAACTTCGTGGAATATTTGTTATGAAAGTTGGGTAACTAGGCACTCAGAAATCCATTTCGTTCCGTTCTTGAACCAATTATATTGTTCGTCTCTGCAACCGAAAATTATGCTCACTGCTTTTGTAACCCGTTTTAATAGCTAGTGTTCATCTTAGACAACATTGTTGATCAAATTAATGAGCTAATGTTTGTGTTATTGTAAGCCGTTCACCGCTCAAGACTGTATCTCTCTCTCAACCAGTTTAAGATAAAAACGAAGCACTACCTAATAAATTCCCTGTAACCTACCTTACCCCTCTATTGTCAACCTGTGTAATTCATTCTGCAACCATCCCCCCAAATGGCGTGTAACTCTGTCACTCTCCCTACCCCTCTCACAGGATGGGTATAGGGGTGCTCTGTAACTCTCCCTACCCTCTTTCCTCCTGGATGGGTATATAGGGTGTTCTGTATCTCTCCCTACCCGCACAGGATGGGTATAGAGTATACCCCTGTAGCCCTTCCTACTCTGCTATGAGTACAGGGTGACTCTAAACCGCTTGGGCTCGACGGTAGAGTGGTGGTCTCGTTTTCATGCAGGTCGGTGTTCAATCCCCGACTGTCCAAGTGGTCGGGCGCCATTCCTTCCCCCTGTCCCATCCCAAATCCTTAACCTGATCCCTTCCCCGTGCTATATAGTCGTAATGGCTTGTTGCTTTCTCCTCCCTGCCCTAAACCCTTTTACCCACATCACGGGATAGATACTGAGGGTAGAATGGGTATATGGTACCCAGCCAGGAGTCATTAGCAGGGTATTACGGGCTATTCATGCCCGTGCCACCTCTTGGGTGGCTTAATCTTTATCAATCAATCAGCAGGGTTCTACCTGAGCCATTAAACTGGTCGTCCAGGAGTCATCAATCAACAGGGTCGTCCAGGAGTCATCAATCAACAGGGTCGTCCAGGAGTCATCAATCAACAGGGTCGTCCAGGAGCCATCAATCAACAACGTCGTCCAGAAGTCATCATCTAGTACGCATTATCGGCACTCTAATCTCCACCCAAAAAATGACTAGAGAATCCGTTGCATGTTTTTGAATTTGAATTTCGAATTTGAATTTGAATTTCGTCATATGCAAGCCGCGACAATCGGCAAAGCAGCAGCCACTTCAGATACACAATTCAACAATCGTGCAACCATTTTTATACTGAAGTGGAGAGCAATTAAGTTTTCTCTCCCTCACTACGACAATAAGAGACAGCGCTGTTTACAAACTCAATTTGACGCGCCAATTTTTCAAACTGTTCACGGCGAGTAATATCCTATTACAGAATATCAAATCATATTACAGTTTTTCATTAAACTGATTAAAGAATGTTATTAGGATATAAAAAATATCGGAACTAGGTTAATCATCAGTCCCATAGAGCGGTAAATTAAATAGACAGTTAACAATAGAAATAATGATTATATATATATATATATATATATATATATATATATATATATATATATATATATATATATATATATATATATATATATATATATATATATATATATATATATATATATATATATATATATAACTACAGGAGTTATATTTAAGGACGTAAAATATACTCGGGTCTACTACCTATCTAAAAATGTTGCAAACTGTACCGTTGGTTGTGCTCAGCTCCCGGTACCCGCCTCTGCAGCAAGGTCGTCATCACCACCACCACCACCACCACACTGCATCATTTCAGGACATCAACACATTACCATCACCATCGTTTCATCACGTCACCGCTATCTCATCACCTCATCATCGCTCTATCTGTTTATTAAGACCCGCCAAGAGGTTCTAAGCTCTTAGACCCTCAGTTGTGGGAGTGTGTTTGAAGCCGCCAGCTGTGGAAGTGGGCCTTGAGCCGCCAGCTGTGGGAGTAGGCCTTAAGCCGCCAGCTGTGGGAGTGAGCTTTGAGCCGCCAGCTGTGGGAGTGGGCCTTGAGCCGCCAGCTGTGGGAGTGGGCCTTGAGCCGCCAGCTGTGGGAGTGGGCCTTGAGCCGCCAGCTGTGGGAGTGGGCCTTGAGCCGCCAGCTGTGGGAGTGGGCCTTGAGCCGCCAGCTGTGGGAGTGGGCCTTAAGCCGCCAGCTGTGGGGTGGGCCTTGAGCCGCCAGCTGTGGGAGTGGGCCTTGAGCCGCCAGCTGTGGGAGTGGGCCTTGCCCGGGAAGCAAAACAAATCAGATATGGGTATTCCACACCCTGAAGACCTGTCGTAGTCTAAAGTTTATAGGCTGTATCTTCAATGATTTGTGGAGGGTGGGAGGGATCGAGGCATGGAAGGAGGAAAGGAAAGGGAACGGAAGCAAAGGGAAAATGGGGAAGATGAGTAACGGGAAAAAGAGGGAATAAGAAACGATAAGAAATACCTCGATAATCTCCCCCTTCCAGTCGCATTAATAACCACCTTCCCCAAATATATTATTCAAATCAGCCAATCCTCGTAACACCACCTGACCTGGAATATATATATGGCAGAGAACTCTTGGGTGTTTTTTTTTCTTCAGACGGGAGACATCTCCCGTCACTCCGGGTGCAGTCGCACCTCCACAGATCTCCAGTATCAGCTCTTGATACTGGTAATGGCTCAAAAGGGCTACCACTTACGGGCTATTCATGCCCGTGTCACCTCTTGGGTGGCTTAATCTTCATCAATCATCAATCTGGGTGGCTTAATCTTTATCAATCAATCTGGCAGAGAAACCTTGCTTGTGTTAAGACGCCAGGCAGACCTCCTCCCTTACATACCACCTACTCCTCAACCCATACATTCCCTTCCTGGCTCAAGAGTTTCCTTGGGTCATATACCTCATGGAAACTTTACAAGCGATAACACATTCAAGTGATGGTTGAGTGGCGTCCTTGGTGTTCCTTTGCCCGATACTTTCCCTACCTTTCTCTACCATTTCCTACCTTACCTTTATATTATCTTCCTTGCCTCTCGCTCCCTTCGTCACCAGCGCCTATCCCCCCTTGCATCAGGGGTCTTACTGCGTCGCCCTGTGTCTTGGCCATCGTCTTGGCCATCGGCTTGGCCATCGACTTGCGGCTTCACGGAGGATTGATCAAGGTCCCTCTGGGACGAGTTTCCTTCGAGGTCCCCCATGCAGGCACCTCTCTACCGCCTGTTTGCCTCTCCCTCTATATTATCATATATATCACCACCCACCTGTTTATTTCCAGAGAGAGAGAGAGAGAGAGAGAGAGAGAGAGAGAGAGAGAGAGAGAGAGAGAGAGAGAGAGAGTGTTGTATGCTTTCCCCTAACCATATGTTAGATTGGAACAGATATATAATGTTACCAGAGAAGTCTTAACAAACAACACAGAAATCATTGATAGATACAGCGATAGAAGGCGGCTTGACATCTGCGAGGCACTACACATCAAAAAGTCAACACCAGCAATCAACCGCCAATTAATGCACAACTATATTCTACCCACTTCAAGACTCCGCATCAATATAGAAGCATCAAGAGGAAGTATAGGCCAATAGGCCCTTTGCAGTTACTTCCATTCTTCCCTTTCATTTATTCAATTAATACCCAATGTTTCGTGTTCTGTCTTGTGTTGGTCAAAAGTTTGTTCACCTCATCCAAAACTGTTGCAACATATCACCTCCCCCAAATGCGAGTATATAAGACAAGATGTTTAAGTGTTTAGCATAAGTATAACTCTGTTTAGTGTTTTCAGGTTACAGTTGTGTGTGTGTAAACTAAAGTCTTTGAAAATGTAATAAGTTATTACGAAACGCATTCAAGCGTCGCGTCAGACTAGAAATAAAAATGAATTTTGGAGAATTGATTTTTCAATTACCATCGACAGTAAAAAGAAACATAAGAAATATTGAGAAAATTCGTGTTAGAATTATTAATCTTACTTTTTCGGTCATATTTAATAATATATGTCTACAGGAAAGACTGCTACCAAAATATACTAATATATATATATATATATATATATATATATATATATATGTGTGTGTGTGTGTGTGTGTGTGTGTGTGTGTGTGTGTGTGTGTGTGTGTGTGTGTGTGTGTGTGTGTGTGTGTGTGCGTGCGCTATCTGCTCTATGAGAATTGTCGTACGTGTGTGTGATATCATATCTTATAATATAATACAGGAGTATAATAATACCCAAGACTTTCCATCTGGTATCTGACGTCCGAGCTCTGTGTCCTGATCTTGATGAAGACGATGAGTCCCACCAACGTGGCTGAAGATATGATGACCAAACCACTCATCAGAAGATGAGGAGACGACGACGTTTCGGTCCGTCCTGGACGTGTGTTTTGATAATAGTCTACGACAGACCGAAGTGTTATCGTTTCCCCATCTTCTGGTGTGTATTCACCTAGATGTGTTTGCGGGAGTTGAGCTCTGGCTGTTTGGTCCCGCCTCTCAACTGTCAATCAACAGGTGTATAGATTCCTGAGCCTACTGGGCCCCTATCATATCTATACTTGAAACTGTGTATGGATTTAGGAGTCAGCCTCCACCACATCACTGCCTAATGCATTCCATTTATTAACACCCCTGACATTGAAAAAAATTCTTTCTACGTGGTTTGATCATCCTGTTCTTGATGTTGTGGATAAAATCGACCTTAAATTCATCTTTAAACAAATTCCAGAGAAAGAGAGATACTCTTTCTCTCTCTCTCTCTCTCTCTCTCTCTCTCTCTCTCAGACAGACTCACCTCAATGATGGTCTGACCGAGGAAGTCGTCACTCTCTCTGGTAAGCTTGGATCTAAGCTTGGACTTAATGTCGTTGTCTTCGTCCCACACACGGACCTTGATCCGGTCACTCGAGTTGTGACACTCGCTGTAAAGACAGAAAACCTCCAGCTTTAGTTCCACGCTCACCACCACCACCACCACCACCACCACCACCACCACCACCACCACCACCACCATACTCACCAAAACATTAACTATACACTTCATTATATCAAACATAAGAATGAAAGGAAACTGGTGAAAACCTCACAGTTGGCCCTTGATGCGAGGCTGTTACTTATTTAATTCCCAAGCAAACTCATTCACACATATATATATATATATATGTCTATCCTACGATTGAAACAATCCAGCGACCTCACGTCATTTATTTTATCCCGGTGATTTATTCCATATATCAAGACTCTTATTCCCAACCATACGTGTGCGAAACTCATACCAACTCCCTGTAACTAAACCAACCAGGTGGAATGATTAAATCTTCAAATATTTAACCACTCATTAAACAAAGATAAAAAAAAAACCTCTTGTAACGCGATTGAGAATAAAAACAAACATTATTGTAGTTTGTGGAATGTTCTTAATTGTATTTAAATAGTTGAAGCAGAAAACCATATCAAGTAACAATGACTTAAAAATGTCAACCTGACCTGACCTGACCACTGAAGGACAGACCGAAGCACCGTGAAGGTGATGCTAACATCTCCCTAGAACTCATCAACTGGACAAACTCAGCTGCTCCAAGAAAATATTCCTGCAGGAAATCATTTTTTGTAAACAGATAGACATTCAAGTTCAAGTATGTTTATTGAGACAAGAAAGAAATACATCTCAAAGAGATAGAGTACCTTAGGCTATTTCAACCCCCCCCCCCTAGATAGACATATCTCTCTTCATAAGCTACAACAAAAGATATCATCACAACATGCAAATTAACAAAAAATAATCATCACATTTATTCTAGAAACTATATGTAGAGTATATTTACCCAGGCTACATATGTTAACACCTTCCAACCCATCACTGATCTTCCTTCACCCAATCCACTCAAACCCTTCCATCCTACAGACAAACAGGGGATCGAACTGCTTTTCAAAAAGCCAGACCCAGAAACGTGAAATAACAGGAAATTCCACAGATATAAGTCAAAAAAAAAAAAAATCAGAGCTCTACTCACAAGTAGAACTTCTCGTTCCAGACCGGATTGAGTTCTTGAGGCACCGTGTGGGTTCTCTTCTTGACCTTACCAACTTGGACGGTGACGTAGGGGTCAGAGGTCCCACTCTTGTCCTTGGCTATCAGACCCTGGGCACATATCACTGTAGGAGGAGCAGACGCAGTCACAGGTATGATCGTCAGAGGGGGGAATATATCATACTCTATCGCTGCGTTAATCTTTTACATATGAATTGGCTATCGTAGTTTTGGAGGATGTGATTAAAAATAGATCTGAACCTTGAATATACAGTATATATATATATGTATCTGGTGGCGGACCAAAGGGGTGGGGACTTATATTACAATTTTTATGTTCATTCATTGGTGTGGAAACTGAGGTAAAGATAAACAGGTATTACCATGCCAAGGACTCTTACTGAGTCTAGACAAGCGCACTTGGGAGTGAAGATCACTGCTGGCGGTGTGTGGCGGGAGACACTATCCTGCACCATATTATAAAACCTGCTTTCTCATCTCACTACACTCAAATTATCCAATGTTGACAAGTTGCGACACAGCAAACCTCTCTCCAGCGCTCTGAGCGACACAGCAAACACCTCTTCCAGAGCCCTGGTGCTACTAAACTTGCACCAGGTGGTAAAATGCTGGAAAAGTTGTTCTGTGGGGGTGCTCGAAGCATTGGAAAGTTGTCTTAGTGTCGTAAGCTCAATACATTGGTCGTGTACAGATGAGGCGTCACGATAACGTGGCTGAAATATGTTGACCAGACCACACACTAGAAAAGTGAAGGGACGACGACATCGACTTGAGAATGGTCCAGGACGGACCGAAACATCGTCGTATCTTCACTTCCTAGCGTGTGGTCTGGTCAACATTGGTCGTGTACGTGTAGTAGGCCCACAACGTTGGTTTAATAATATGGGCGATTACAAAAAATAAAGGAAATCTGCAGCAACTGTATACTGGTATGTACAAGATCTTAAAGACGAGGGAAAAGGTGAAAAAAAAGATAAAATAGGTGGTGGATGTCTCTTACTCCATTTATTGTTATCGATAGTCCAGGACCTTATGACTATGTGCAAGTCTCAAGGGTGGTGGGGGGGGGAGGTGAGGGAGGAGGGTAAGGGGGGGAGGGAAAAAGAGGGTGACAGAACGGGGCAAGAGAAAGCTATAGTGTTTAAATTTTGTTTCCCCCCGTGAAGGCTGGCAATCTGGAGTCATCGTTTGTGTGCGTCACCCTTACGGATGGCCAAAAGTCCTCTCGCTCACTGGGTTTACAAATCTGGAGAATTTGGGGAAGTTAATAAATGCAGCTGTTGATGGGAAGATGGAAGGGGGAGAGGGTTGAAGGGAAGGGTTGAAGGGTTGACACCCTTGAAGGGGCAAAGGGTGACAGGGGTTGTGAGGGGGTTATGAGAGAAGTAGCCGATAAGGTCCTGGGCGAGTGATGAGGAACTTGTGCAATGTTGTGATGATGGGGGGGAGGGAGGTCCTGCCACCACCACCACCCCTTCCCCACAACACGCCTCCCCCCCTCCCCCCACACCAAGTCCCCCCCCCCCCCCACACACACACACACCCGCTCCGCCCACACACCTGTACCGTCGGTCATTAAAGGTCATCACGAATCTCCCGTTACGGTGATTCGGGTCACGCTGGGTCAACAGCAATCAACGCCAGGTCAATGTAGGTTAAATAGGGACAACATCAGGTCAACTGAGGTCACATGGTCAATAGTCACTTCACACGCGCCGCGTAGGGCTAACAGGGAATCAATATGCGTTACACTAGGTCAACAGAAAGTCAATAAAGTTCGCACTAGAATAATATGAAATGCATAAAGTCAACTAAGTGTTGCAAGGTCAATATTTGTCAACATCTTACTTAAATTTGTCAAATCGGGTCAGAATGTTAGATTGTGACTATTTGGATGTGTTTACCTCAGCTGTGACCACGTGGTTGTGTTTACCTCAGCTGTGACCACGTGGTTGTGTTTACCTCAGCTGTGACCACGTGCTTGTGTCTTGTTCTATTATGTCCACTTGTGTTACTTTTTCTTGCTTTGTTTTATTTTTCGTCCAATGTCTCTTAGAATTTTATAGGTTGTTATCATGTCTCAACACCCCCTCCCCCATTCGTTTTAATGTGGTTTGTATGTGTATGTGGGTTTGTTTACGCAGGCGGTGCTGGGTGCGTGTGGGCGTGTGGGTGTGGGCGTGTGGGCGTGGCGTGAGGGCGTGTGTGGGCGGATCGTGGGCGTGGCTCTCGCCTCATTACCAAACTTGTGCACATCACCATACAGTAAACAATTGTGTTCATGCAAATCTTACTTCCGGGTCTAGATAATAGATAAAAGCCTGAAAGAGGTGACTTCGACCTTCACCATCCTGGAGAGCCTCTAATGCTGCTGCTCTAATATCTAATCGAGCACCTTTCTCTAGATAGCTCTCTTTAGAATTCTTTTTTTGCATTTCTACAGCTTAAAGACATCTCCGGGGTGTCTCGCGGGGTTTAACAACACCTCCGGGAGACACCTTACCTCACTTCCCCTCACCCCTCGAAACATCGCTCTTGTGGATGCAAAGTAAAGTGCTGGGCGATGTTTTGAGAGCGGACCCGCGAGTGAGTTCGAAGGTCAGGATCGCGCGGGCGGGCATCTCTTCGGCTGGCGGCCACATCCAGCGCGCACAGGCGGGCAGCGGCAGCCACAATGGGAGTCGTCAGTTTAAGAGAGAGACGCTGAGTTTGGTCGCCAACAAACACATAACGGAAGAACAGGGTTATGACTACTATTTCTGCGTTGCTACGCGATAACGTAAATAAAACAGAAAATATTTTTGTGGTTTGTTATGACGAAAACTATTTTTTCGCATTTACAATGTTAAGTCTTTAACATTGTAGCGTGTGTTAACAGTTAACGTCTGTGAAGACACCTCTCCTTCTCCTCCACGACTCCCATGATGCTCTAGGCGTCTCCAGGTAGACTACAATGTAAGCAAGTTTACCTCCTTAGATCTGTCAAGGTTTACCTTTTGCTTCCTGGTGCCTGTGCGCGCGCGCGTGTGTGTGTGTTGGTGTGGGCAAGCGGCAGGTTGGTTTATCTATTGTCTAGACCGGTGTAGTCATATCGTATAACCAACTCTCCATCATGAAGTTAACATGCTCCCATGCTTCAGTATGCTAGTAACAAGCCAATCCTTTAGCCATATATTAGCAGTGGTACAATACTTTAATCAAGTTAATGCTGCTTTAATATTATTTGCCCCTTCATAATGTAACAAAAATATATATATATGAGTTTGCCGGTTTCAAAATTATGGCACAACTCTTGAAAATTTTAGCTTTGTCGTTTTATTTATGTGTTCTCAAAAATTTTAGTCGTATCAAAAAATTATTTTTCTCAACAAGTTTAAGGGGGGAAAAACTGCTTGACTTTAAGTATATTTAGGGGGAGTATATTTTAAGTATATTTTGTCCCTCTTTAGAATCAGGCAGGTTAACTTCATGTTAAAATTAACTTTGGGGGAAGGGGGGGAGGAGGGGGAGGCAAACTTGCCATCAAGGTGGTCACAAAGAACCTTTCTGGTAAGGTTCTGGTAAGGTTCTGGTAAGGCATAACCAATATAACTATAGGTGTTTATACCCATACGTGCCTCCTCCTGCCTTACTGATCCTCTCTCTCTTACTGATCTTCGTTCGAGGCGTTCCCGGCCGTTCCTAACCATTGATTTTATTCCTCGGAGCATACACAGGGGGGAAGGGGGGGGGGGAAAGGAAAAAGGGAAAAGGAAGGGGGGGGGGGGGGGTAGTAGGACTTGCAAGATCTGTGACAATCGTTCGTCGAAACCACACACGCATATATGCGTGATTCGTAGCTATTGTATTTCTCTAGAGTACGTCTAAATCACTTTAGCATCTGCTATGAATATGATTTAATGTATGCTAAAGGTCATATTCAATATATATATGCTACCGTTTGTAAGGGGTATATGCTTCATAGCGTCAACATATTTAGCAAGAGGGTTCAAAGCTTAAGTCACAAATTACCAAAGCATCGTTTGAATCAATTACAAAATTCCTCTAGGCAATCAGTGAGAATTACGAGATCAGTTGAGGCAGGCGACAATCAGGGCGGGAAAGTGGAGAAAAAAAGAATCAAAATTAGTATAAATCGAGTCAGTCGGATGCTACTACTGTATATATAGTATATAGTGTATATAGTATATATATATATATATATATATATATATATATATATATATATATATATATATATATATATATATATATATATAATATAAGTGCTGCCGCCTGATGGACAGTCGGGTCTACAAGAGGTGCTGCCGCCTGGTGGAGTACAGTGGAGATTGACTGTCTACCGATAGGCCGGTGTAGTAGTAGTTGCACTGGTTTGGGTGGGTTGTTACAGGGAGGGTGGAAGTAGGTGAAGAGAGAGAGAGAGCATAAATAAACAATAGTATTAAAAAAAAAAAAGCCGCAAGACGATGGAGCACACACGTTAGGGTGGAGGACACCCCCAACACCTCCTCCATACTTCCATCCTCCATGCTATGTACATGTTTTGCCTGACCTGTAGTTGCAATCTTGCAAGACCAATGGGAGGTCCCCTCTAATACGTTATCCTCTGCTTTCTCAAGTGAATCTATATGGGTATCGGGATCCACCTTGAATGTCATCCTGTGGAAGAAGGACATTCAACAAGGGGGGTTAACAACAGCAATGGTACAACATCACGTAGCACAAAAACTGAACTAAAACAACAAAACAGTAGTCAAACAAGGACACCAAAACAAAATAAGCATCTCCATCTTCGGCAGCTTTCGACGACCAGGTTCCTGTGAAGAGTCTCAAGTCGTCCAAGCACAAGGGAATGCTTCTCTTTATATCACTATAGTTTCTCACTTGAACTACCTACGTCTTGGAGGGACGGGTAATTGATCTTACGTATGATTATCCATTTACGTAGGGAAAAAAAACTAAATAAACTCTAGTTTTGATGAAGACTTCGCTTATGGATGGACGACTCCTCGTGGGAAACACGTTACTTCTATGGAGACAAACAGAACTGCATTTGGCTTCTCTTAAACCCAGCTTTTAGCCAAATCCGTGATTAAATATCCCAACATATACAACAAGGTAAAGATAAAACTTCATTCATTACTAGCTGCACGTCCAGGGAAAATCTAATATCGAGTAAATATATAAATTTTTTTCACTTTTAAAAGATAAGATTGCCTGCGCGCTGGCATTGGTTCCAAAGCATTCTTCATCTACACCATCACCTGTTCTTGAACAAAGTGCGACTTAAAAAGCACTTATAACGTAGCCAAATATACTTCAGTTTGCCTCCACAATAACGTAATATATATATATAAGATTACCACGCGAGACGGACATGAGACGTAACAATGAAGTCGGAGAGGCGGGAAAAAAAAGGGAAGAAATTAAAGAAAACCCGAATAAAAACATACATAGAAAACGGAGAAAGCAAGAGTAGAAAGTTTAGGGTAGACTCAAACAAACCTGTGATGGCAATCTTAGCAGACCACTTGCTAGTCCCGTCAAGCACCGACTGGTTCACCGACATCATGTGGCCTACGTGGCTCTTGTCCTCCACGCCAAAGACATCCCTATTTATTGAAGAAATTAAGTTCATATCTGCCTGCTAGGGTGCGGGGGAAAAAAGGCATAAACCCCATCACACTTACAGAGAGCGCCGATTCCCGGGCTTAATTATATATCACCGGACTGGGCTCTTTTTTTATATTAAAGTGAGCACTGAAAGGGCATCAAACTGCACACTGTAGAATCCAATTAAAGATAAATCATGTCTGAAAAGGGAATATAACCGCATGCTAGACTGATACAAATATTTACACATTGTTTTGCAAGTCAAGTTTCGTCAAATTCAAACAAAAGGAAAACACGTTAAGTAATCATTAACATATTTATGCGTTTATAAATGACTTAAAGAATCTAATAATTAATAGGTTCAATAAGTTACTAGTAAAATTTATCATACATTTTCAATAATTTATTAGTAAAATTGCTCTTATATTTTGCAAATAAAGATCTACCAATATAAAAATTGCAACTACTAATCGATGTTAAACTTTCATTCAATAAATGTTTACTCTCCAAAGTCTTAAACATCACAATTTTGAACCTTATAATTGTCATTGCTAAGAGTATAAAAAAATATTGATAAAATAATAATAAAAAAAAATCTAATGGCTTCAAAAACTATTAAAAAATGAGTCAAGAAATGCACAACTAGAACAAAAAAAAAATATATAAATTAGCCTACTATGAATGTCTCTGAGACGAGGCTATGTGTAGTTAAGTAAATATGTAGTCCCATTCTATACAAATAGTGTTTTTCTCCTTTTTTAATACTGAACAATTTCTACATGTCAAGTTACCACTAGAACAAACTACTGAAAACTCCATAGTAACACCTGTCAACATCTGGTATCAAGTGGAGAAGAGTGATTAATAGTGATTAATAGTAGATTAAACAAACCTATTCGTCTGGTGTATAAGTTAACACTATTACAGTTATTTCCAGATTCAATATTTATATAAAAAAAATTATTGCCCCCCGCTCTTCTGTATTAAGTGGTTGCCAACACACATATCTAAGGAACACTAATCATAAGAAAACGACTGGAATGTGCCACGATAGGTATTCTTCAAGACCTTAAAGCATTTATAGTTTTCCTTTCAGTTTAATCTATTTATGCAGCAGAGGTAATTAACATGAATTAATGATGTGCACAGACACATATTCCAGATATATATATATATATATATATATATATATATATATATATATATATATATATATATATATATATATATATATATAGAACTAAAGGTGGTGACAAAAGGTGGTGACCTTTTGTCACAATATCCTACAACGACTATCATTTACCACAATATAATTTAAGACGATTTCTAAGACTACTTCATAAACACAAAGACTAATTTAAATAACTTTGCCTATATATATATATATATATATATATATATATATATATATATATATATATATATATATATATATATATATATATATATATAGAACAAGTAACCTCGAAACACACACACACACATGAGTTCCAGAATGCACGATAAAGCATAGGTATATCATGTGCTGTATATACACACACACACACACACAAATACATTTCCTCCACAATAACCAAATATCCAACGTAGCCCATCAAAGTTAAAACAAAAAAACACACATCTCCTTTAAAAAACTGTTCTACCACTATCCACACATCTGGATAGCTTCAGCTATCCATTAGCGAAAAAAAAAAGGTTTTGGTCATTCCAGGACTAACAGTGAATGAACACCGTCCGATAACCTCTTTGGACAAAACCATGACCAATTCTCGCTGTCACAATAACACCCGTGGCCCCCGGAAATTGAACGGGAGATGGGGGACAATGGTCAATAATGAACTCCAGAGGGTTGAAATGCCTATGGATCACTGTGGCAACCCCGACCATCTCACCGGTACAATATAGGCGTGCTTAATTTGGAACTTGTCGATTGAAAGACTGTCCCCAAACACCCAGCTTCGTTAAAGGGTCTGACAGCCTGTTATCTGCTTCACAGTTAGCAAGGAATGGGGTTGAGATAGACTTCAGTGGATCAGGATGCTCTGTTTTATAAGAATCTCTACTTTTATTTCTTAGGGACTTGTAGCCTATGATGAAAATGTCTCTTAAACAAATATTATAATTTATATTATATTGAGATAAAACTTATCTTAGGCTATTGACACGGACACGATTTCATTCGTTAATCTCGATTACTTAATATTGACTGAGATATAATCTTGATAAGATTTTGGGTGGTGACCTTTTGTCACAATATCCTACAACGACTGTCATTTACCACAATATAATTTAAGACGATTTCTAAGACTACTTCATAAACACAAAGACTAATTTAAATAACTTTGCCTAACTACAAAATACAAATGATTTAAAACAGCACAAAAAGTAGAAATTAAATTTTATCACGAAAATTAACACGTGATGAACAATATGAGTGTCAGACCACGAAGGAAGGATTAAAACAGGAATTTCCTTAAGTACTTTCGTATTGAATAGTACATCTTCAGAATAATTCATCCTTCTAAAGAAGGCCTATTAAATACGAAAGTACATAAGGAAATTCGTCTTAATCCTTCCTTCTGTGGTCTGGCATTGTCATATATATATATATATATATATATATATATATATATATATATATATATATATATATATATATATATATATATATATATACATATATATTTATATGTTTATATATTAAAAATCACAATGGTTACGTTAATGCGGTGTATACTCTCAACCATCTGAATTATGAAATTCGAAAACTATTTGAATGTCACCTAGAACTTCCTTTACAGAAAACCAAGCTTTTATATGTTAAAGCACCGATTTATAATACAATAAAGATATATAACGCGAGACCATTCTCTGTTTACGACGAAGGTTCACTTTGCCCTTTTGTGAGATTAGGTAAAAACCTATAGCCTAATATATATATATATATATATATATATATATATATATATATATATATATATATATATATATATATATATATATATCTTGTTTTTAAAGACTATTTTAATAAATTTCGAAACACATTAAGCAAAGCCAAGCTATAAATCTTAGAAGAGGGACTGAAATTATCACTGAATGCAATTAATCATTAATAGCCTCTCAAAGCCAAAAATGCCCATGTGGAGTTTAATATTCTGAAACATCTATATGCTAAATGCTAAGAGATTCACAAAGTGGCTTCATCAGTTAGAGAGGGGGCAAGGCTGGATGGATATATACCCATTTAATTAATTAATTTGCAAACGCGGGCAGGCATTGAATCTGGTGTTGACTAAGATGAGCCGGTCGGCCGAGCGGACAGCACGCTGGACTTGTGATCCTGTGGTCCCGGGTTCGATCCCGGGCGCCGGCGAGAAATAATGGGCCGAGTTTCTTTCACCCTATGCTCCTGTTACCTAGCAGTAAAATAGGTACCTGGGTGTTAGTCAGCTGTCACGGGTTGCTTCCTAGGGGTGGAGGCCTGGTCGAGGACCGGGCCGCGGGGACACTAAAAGCCCCGAAATCATCTCAAGATAACCTCAAGATAACCTGACTAAAGCTAAATATTCTGAAAACACTTTAACAGATCTTAAAACTTAAATTTCAATTATCTAGAATTTATAATTGGATTTTCTTCTCTCAGAGAATATAAACTAAAAAAAAAAAAAAACACATAGGAAAAAAAACCACACACAAAATTAAAATCCTAACCACCCTATCACTAAATCAATTACAACATGTGATTACTTTACCCTACGCAGATTATGTAATTAAGGCAAATGTAATTATATTCCAGCGCTTCCTGTGTGGTTAAATATTAATATTTCAAATTGGTTAACAAGTTAATTACCAGACTTGTCTCGGCAGCCCCTGGGACCACTATCTTGTGGGAAAGGAGGAGAAAGAATGGAGAAGGAACAGGAGCAATAGAGAAGAAGGAATGGAATTGCAATGAAGACGGGGTAAGAATGAGTAGGGAGTGGGATAGAGAGAAGGGAGAAAAGGAGAAAGAGGCACGGGAGAGAAGGGAGGAAGGAGTAGGGGGTGGGAGGGAAGGGAAGGCATGAAGGAGCCTGTAAGTGAGAGGAGAGTAGAGAAGGTGAGAGAGAAAGCGGCTGAAAGAGAGGGAAATAAGGAAACGGAGAGAGGGAGTTCGAGAAGAAAATGGGATTACAGGGAAATTGAGAGAAAAAGACATCAAAACAAAAAAAAAAGACGGCAGAAAGGGAGAAACAGTCGTATTAATGATGGACTCTTTCCTCTGGCTTCCTACAACAATCATAGTTCACCACAATATCCTACAACTACCACCATTTCCCACAAATATCCGACACCGATAATTTTTCCCCCATGTAACAGTTGATAAAATGATTATTTTACCGTGTTCATTCTCGAGTACATGGATTAAAATGATCAAAATGTAGCGGTGTGCTGATAAAAATGGAAAATTGAGCCAAAACGAATTTACTCAATTGCAATGGTGCCATTTTTTTGGCAAAACGATCGCAGAGTAATTAATATGAATAACAGTCTTTGTGATTCGAATTTGGCACCAAAAATAAATAAAAAAAACTTTACATGAAGTATAACGTTGTACCGTGACTTCTATGTTAGTAGCATATCTTTAGGCTAGAGTATCTG